TTGGCATGCCGGGCATGTCAGAGAATTTGGCATGCTGGGCATGCCAGAGAATTTGGCATGCCCGGCATGCCGGAGATTTTGCTGGGTATGAATTAATTGTTACTAGAACCTAGGCTTCTCGCGGCCTGGGTTAGAAGGTCGCGGAACCTCAAATTATGCTTACAGGGCATGCGAAATTCTGTTGCATGCCAATTTCAATGCAAAACCACTCTGGGGCCACCCCCTCTATTACCAGTGAGCAAATCATTGACGATGGGCATGGGAAAAATCCTTGCATGCTAACCAACATTGAAAACGTAGCAGAAATGTCCTCAGTTGCTGAGTCATGCCCTAGGGGAGGCTTTAAAATACTGAATTTCCAGACATGGATGAGGGAATGTTCCGTAAACAGCATGTGATCATGCCGGCTAGGACGTATTGCCTCCGTATTGCCCCTTTTTACTGCTAGCTAGGCTCATTTTTAGGTTCCATGGCCTGAAATGACGAAAAATTCATGCCCTAAATGTAAAAAGTCCAAAAACGTCCTCGAAATTTTAGTTTCCAAGCCGTTGTATGGAGACGTCATTTGGTGCACCAATATGGCAGCCGGAAATCAACAAAAACATCTGTTTTGAGTTCACTTTTTCGATGAAAGCTCTTTCTTTTCCCTCGAGAACTAGTATACGTGCGCATAAACATATCCTCTAATACCTGAAATGGTTATACTGCTGAAAATCAAGAGGAGAGACTTTTTTCAACGACACAGCGTTCCTAATTTGGTGTCACGCACTGTGAAAATACGGAAGTTCAAGTTGCTGTATTTTCGAAATACAACATGCTACGGGAATCATAACGTGTACAAAGATTTACTTTTTGTTTGTCTTCAACCTAGTGTAAATAAGAATTCGTATAAACTCGCTATTTTGACTTTTCAATTTGATGATGTCACTGTGAAAATTTATATATTCGCAACACACGTAGTAAGGAAACAGAATATTTTTCGACTTTTTGTTCTTTAAAAATTCTAATGTTTCTGTTTTACAATTTATCGACTTCAAAGCGCGGTCAAGATATAAATTTCTGAGGTTCCTCTTAGGTCTTGTGAGTCTTCCCGCACAATGTCACGAATAATGACAAAAGTCTTAGACCATTTGCAGGGCATTGTAAAAAGGACATGTTGGAGTGACCGTACGTGTACCACGTTGACGTTTCGAAATCATTTCTATCGTCGCGCAAAAAAATAAAACAAAAAACAAAACAAATAGTAAAATTGACAATGTGTTGATCATTTTGCATCATTTGACGAAGTTGCACGCATCCATGGAAAAGGTTAAAAATGCGTTAAAAAGTACGAATCATTGAGAAACTTTTTAATGCATTTTCAAGAATTCAAATGCGTTGAAAATGCATTTTACTCTTCAGCAGTAGTCACACGCGCTTCTCTACCCTGCGAACAGAGTCTCCTTCGATCTTCCTAGATAAGTCGGGCTTATCTAGGAAAGATCGAAGCGACTCTGCTAGCAGGGTAGCGCTTCTCGGGCGCCTAGATTTATTGAACGCGTCATCAACAAACTGAGCATTCAAGTTTAGTTCAGTAGTCGGTGGAATGATTATTCTGTTTCGTAGCAGTCTTTATAAACAATTTTCGAATACGATTTTTCAAATAAGACAATTTGACGCACTTAAGATTCTTTTTTGGGGGATGGGGGAAGAGGTTGGTTTAGAGCCTTAATTCTCTGATACTGAATTTTCCTAAGAAAGCCATTCGAGTTTATTCATAAGGAAACTAACTTATAATTGTCGAAAATATAATAGCTGATAATTTACTTCAGTAAACAGTCGCATCAACTAACCTTGTCGACTTGTTTATTTAAAGTATGATTTGCATTTGTTCATGACAAAGTTTGAGAGTGACGTTACGTGATCAGAAAAGGCGCCAGCTGGGCTCACTGTAAAACTACGTGACTCGACTTTTGTCGTGGCAAAATTTTCTAGTTTAATGTTTTAGTACTTCTACTTTTTCAAAGCAAGAATAGACTGATTTATCAATATATTTTGAAAGTAACTTCACCTCATCAGTTCATTACCACGTGCACTTTTTTGTGTTCAATGTAGTCAATGTAGTACGAATCAGGGTTCTTGCGAAAGCTAACTGAGACCCCGAAAACGAAGACTTAAGACCAGAAAACGCAGACGCGAAAACTCGTTTCCATGAAAACGCACAAATAAGCATTATTAATTAGAAAGCTAGTTTGTACTCAATCTTTATGTGTTACGAGTGTAGTTATTCTTTTCTGAGCACATTTTTCACAGCGCGTCGAATCTCACTGATTCTCCAACAGTATACAACTGGATTTAAAAAAGAGTTGATGAAAACAGCAGTTACAGCAAAGTCATAGGCAATCCTTACTGTTCTTGTGTATCCATAAAATATCTCAATGAATAGCACTATAAGAAACGGAAGATAGAATATCCAGACCAAGCCGTAAATAAAAAGCACTGTCACAGCCGATTTTCGGCACTTAAGTACGTTCACTGTGTTTGCTTGAGGAGGGTTGGTGGCCAGAGTTTGGTCAGTTATCTGGCGTATGTGTCTTCGAACAATTTGAAATATTCGTATAGTACTAAACGTTATAATAAAAAATGTGATAAAAACGGCGACAATCGGGATTAAATACCATTCCTTGGTCATCCAAAATCTTACAACATTCCCTACAAGGCACAGAATCCAGAAAGCAAGAATGAGTCGGAATACGCGAGGAACGGTAACAATTGCATTGTATCGTAAATGGAGGGTAAGAGCGAGTAGACGATCAACAGACACCGCAGTTAAAACAGCAAGTGTTGCGCCAATTGTTATCCAACCCGATACAGATTGAAGCATTTTTAAAAAACAGAACGCCGTCAAACTCTCCTTGAGTTCGGCTATTTTAAATGCCACAAACAGTGGTTGACAAATCAAGCCAACAATAGCATCCGAAGCTGCCAGACAACCCAAGAGAACGAACGATGGCAAATGAAGATCTTGGGTTTTTCTAATCGTGAATAAGACCAGAAAGTTCCCGAAACATGTCGCCATAGAAAATAAACAGTTGAGAATACACATTACAATATTTGTAATGAAAATGTCTTGCTTTTTATCAAAGTTGATGAACGCGTCTTCAAAAAAGAAACATGCTTTGTCTGTTTCTTTCATGGCGAAGGACGTTGTACTGTCCACAAATAGGACGATAGTGGCGACAGTTGTTGTTTTTATTCCAAACCCCTGACATTTTTAATAAGATTTTGACTGACCAAACTGCCATTTCCACTGACAATGTTATGTATGTAAGTGACCTAGGTATTTGCACTCGCTATGACACTGACATTTACGATTGGCTATTCGAAACTCGACTGCGACGACCACCCGTTATCTTAGTTGCTTCCTGTTGGCAAATAAGAAGCCGTTATAGAGACAGCTGTATCTTTGGCGTGGCAGAAGCAACCACTGCGCGGCTTTGAAACTAATTAATTTTGTGAATCTAAGTTTCTATTTCTTTTTTTTTCTTCTTTAAATTGTAAGTTAAATATGGGACAAAGAAGGACTTTTATTGAACTTCTACTTTATGTTCAAAATATTTCTATCTTTCTAATTGGCTAAAATCCCACGCATAACTCATCGTAACCAGTTACTGTCGACCAAATTTGGCAGAATTTTGCGATATGTGAACTGATGATGTCAATCGTGTGGCAAAATTGCCAGATTAATGAACGTTAAACCGAGAAGATCTGGGGAAGAGGTTGAATTATTTTGGTAGTGAATACACAATGGCGGAACATTTCACCCATTTCACGAGGAAGAAATAGGCGCACTATATAATGGCTAAAAACAATGCAAGAACAACAAGAAGACAACTCGACGGACGACATCTACTATTTGGAGAATATTGTATTTAATACAGAACACAACAACCCTTTATCTCCAAAACTCGAAGGGTGTTATCCGCCGAGGTCTTGCGGCCTCGGCGGATAACACCCTCCTCGATCTCCATAATTCTTCAGATGATACTCTGCCTCATACAATGAACGCCCCATAATAATATAAATCGACTTTTGCTTGAATCAAAGCCAACGGAAAAAGAAATAAAAAGAGCTTCATTGATCAGTGAGGTCACATTAACTAGGCCAGAAATCGAAATGGCAGATTAAAAAAAAAGAAACTTTTCCTATGACGTCATTGCTCTTACGTTGGTAGCTCTTATCATGGGCTGATTGTTAACAGAGCATATCAGTAATCATGGATCATGGTAAGAGGCCTAAAAGTTCATACCCCAGGTGTGAATGTGCGAATACCCCTAGGAATTTTTGGTGGGAGTGTGCGGCCCGGTTCTCCATATCCTGACCCTTTATGGTCCGACTGAAAAATGTAATTTTCCACACCTGTTTTCAGACCCGGTCTCTTAAATCCATACCCGTTTCAGACCTGGTATATATGTAGAAATGAAGTCATCATTTTTAGAGTAGGGCTCAAGCAAAAAGATTTCTTAAAATCCATTTCGAATTCGCTGATTACTCTTTCTTTGTGATTCATTTGGAATTGGAACGATGAATACTTTCATACACTTCTGTAGTTTCCTCGAAAACCATACCCAATTCCAGACCAAAATGAGCAAAATCTATACCTGTTTTCACACCGAAACGGCGCAAAAACCATACCATTTGGGGCGGCACATATTTATATGGCTTATATAAGGGAATGTCCCCTCCCCCCCCCCAAGGGGGCGGATACCTAGTCCAGTGGGAAGTTACGGTAGATACCCGTAGTTTAAAAGCGGAGTGCAATCAACACCCCTCACCTGAAAGCTCCAGACGACCGACAAGTCCCTAAAACGAAGAGCTAGAGTTTGTCTTGGCCTGCGGATACAGCCGTCGAAGAACGAGGAGAGAGAGAAATTTTGCCGGTTAAGTTGATACGGCCGTTGTTCAGTTTTTTTCTTTAATATGATCACAGGTGCCCCAAGCTCAGGAGTGAAGATTGTTCTGTATGGAGATTTAAGCGAGCGTTATTTAGGGGTCAAAAATAGAAATAAAGATACATCACAATTTCTTACCTTGTCTGCTTGTCTAAATTTATGGTGTTTTCTTAGCATTTTTGGCTGTTTAAGGGCGATTATGAAACAGCTAAAATAAATTACGATCCAGGGTATAACAAAGAGTCTACATGTAATGTAGCTATGAATAGAAGATAGATCAATTTATACCTTATATACGATTTTCTAGTCCTATACACAGTGTCGAGCATAATGATATAACAAATTACACTAACATTACTAACACTATCCATTATCTACTCGTTTTGTCTCTATACACTTTCATATTTTGTACATTATTATTAAATTTTTTAGAAACGCCTCTGAAATAATATCGTACAACAGGAATCTCATTAGCAGAATATGTAAGCTGCTTTCGCTTTTCATTTTATACCCAGAACAAAGCTAATTTCTTTAAAACCTGCAGAGGTAGTAGTTGTAGCTCGTATACAAGTAATTAACTCAATTAAATAAAATTAAAATTAAAATAAGTTTAAAAACCATCAAAATTCGCAATATATCTCAAATTTCGTTTCCTAAAATTAATAATTCAAACGAAAGAGAGCCAGATGAAAGTAATACAAAAAATGTCTCCTTTGAATCGCAAAACGCCCGGAAAAAAATTCATCCTACCGCACGAGGTCCAACCTCTTACCACCTTTTCACAGGGTTTTCTTTTCGCGATTATAACAGGTAAATATGAAAAAAGGCATTAAATTTCGCGATACAAGCGAACAAAAATGGAGCTTACCTGTAAAACCAGTTAGCAATTTGTGTTTGTCAATACCTGTCGCTGCTATTACATGTTAATCGCTATTTGAATTTTCTACAAATACATTCATGCATTCCATCTAAAACCATACCCGAACTAAGACCAGAATAGGCAAAGTCTATACCTGTTTTCAGACCAAAACGGTGCAAGACCCATACCCTTTGGGGCGGCACATATCTATAAGGCAAATATAAGAGAGTACCCCCTCCCCCGGGGTGCGGGTAGCCCTTTATATACCTAGAGCTTGAAAAAGGAACCCCTTTCCGGGGGGGCAAACCGTGGAACGTTGCTCACGGAATTTAAAAATACAGCTATTACATAAAAAGTCTTTATACTATCTGGGGAAGTGAAAGGATGTCAAGTAGATGTTTCAAACACAACTGCATTTCGACGTTCTTGGGCCGTCTTTGTGTCATCTTTAGTAATAACTTTCGTCTCACCATGCTTGATGGTGTGGAATTCTTTATCAGAAATTCCTAGCTTAAGAAGTCTCCCGCTGAGCGCCTTTGGTGGGTCAAGATAATGCTGATTAAATACAAAAGAAGAAATAAAAGAAAGATGAGCAAAATAAATCGAGCTGGATGTTCGAAAATGTTACTGCCTCAAAGTCTTTCTCGTTCAACCAGAATTTTGTAATTCAAATACTGTCTCCAAAATAGACAATTTTATGAAGGGAGCAACGACTGCTTTTTTTTTCTCTTTTCGTTTTACTTCTTTTCACTCCCTCTATTTTTCTGTCCTTTTTGTTTAGTAGTATAATGTTTCGGCATATTCACCTCTGGCTGCCATTTTCGGTAGCCAAGATTTCGGATACTTTTGAGCAACATCATCCGAATCCCACATGGTGGCATCGCCAAATCCCGTGTCCAGTTCATGACGACAATCCGGTCCAAATCTTGCTCCTCGATTGCTCTAAAACTGTCTAAAAACCCGAATAGGTCCTACGAGGGTCTTCGTTATGAGTTTGCCCTCAAAGACTTCCTCCTCCTACTTTGGAGTAGATATAAGCAAAGAAAAAGCACTCACCTCATACGACAGATTGAAAGTTCCCCAGTGAACTCCAAGAGAAAAGTTGGATTTGACATCTTCATGAATGTCAACGGCTTCCTCGGGATTTACATGTTGGAACTGCATCAACCCTCTAGGATACAAGTGAAAAGAAATTAGTACACATATTTGTAATTAACTCAAACTATACCATGTACGAAATTTGAATTGAATGTTCATTGAAATTCAATGCTTTGATTTTGAAACTAGTTACTAGTCAACATTTATGGGTGAGGCTCATTTAAGGAAGCAACCTGGTAGAATTTCGTTAATCCTCCATTAAGCCCCCTGCCCCCCTCAACTACCCTTCGCCTCCCTAATTTGACCTCCTTTTCAGTCCTCCACCACTTTAAAGCCCCCTTCTCCTCCCCCTTTAAGGGTGCACATAGAATGCGAGTCGTGGGGTTGTGAGTGGCGAGTTGTGAGTTGCAAGATGCGAGTTGTGAGTTGTGAGTTGCAAGTTGTGAGTTGCGAGTTGCGCATTGTGAGTTGTAATTTGTGAGTTGCTAGTTACTAGTTGCAAGTTGCGAGTTGTGAATACCCAGTCCCTATTCTTAAATAAGACACTGTAACATTCCCCCCTCAAACGTGCTTGAAATAAATAAGCCCCCAGGTGGCTTAATAGAGGATTTCCAATAATGTCACTTAAATCTCTGTGGTATAGGCAAAAATAATTGCCAGTTGTTGACCCTATATACGGAAGTGTTTCACACCTCGGTTCATATGCTCCAATAGGTATTGCAGCCAAATCAAAGGGTCCATATCTCCTGCCAATTTGTTTGAAAATTTGATGATAACCAGTATCTCCCGCAAAGAAGAATCTATTCCGAGGACCAATAACAGACCAACTCCCCCATAACACTTTGTTTGTGTCATTAATACCCCGGCGACACCAGTGTTGGGCTGGAGTGAAACAAAACTTCACTGCTTTGCTCTCTTCAGTAAATTTAGGGTGAGAGTGTTCTTCCCACCACTCAAGCTCTATGACATTTTTACAGCCGCTGTCTCTCATCCACTGACGCAGGCCCATTGGCACAAACCAATGGATCTTATTTCCAAATCTCTTGTTCAGCGCACAGACTGAGGTGTAGTCAAGGTGATCGTAATGGTTATGGCTAATACAGACAGCATCAATATCAGGGAGGTCATCTACAGTGCAAGGGACAGGGCGGTAGCGCTTCACGCCAATCATTCGAGCCACTCCACAGTAGTCATTGAAAACAGGGTCTGTTAAGATATTAAGACCGTCCATTTGAACTAAAACAGTTGCGTGACCCATCCAGGTCACTTGAACATTGTCAGCGGGTGGAGACTCTAGAGTTTTCTTGACTGGTTTCAGAACTGGTAAGGTTTGGTCCAACTCCTGTTATAATAATATAATTAAAAACTGAATCATCGGATAATGCAATTCTAGAGCTCTGATTGGCTAAGCCATCATGGTATATGAGCCCATGCTCTCCAAATATGGTAACTGTACACGTCTGCTCAAAATTAAAAACAAGCTGAAAATCAGTTGTTTTTACAAATAATGTCTGGAAGAATTCTCGGTATTTTGTAGGCGTTTTTAATAAAACAATTATTATTCCACTCTCGCTCGTTGGATATGAGATGATTATAGCCAACCACTCAGATCCAGTGCGCACTCATGGAGGATTACAAAGGCTTTTGTCTTTGGGGGGGGGGGGGGTTCAGTAATTTCTGCACTTGATTTCTACTGCATGGAATTAAGGATGCCTACACCTACATATACACATCTCAGTTCTTCTGGTAAAACACAAAGCTGTTAATTTTTACAGTGTAATTGAGCTTAGATAAATACCTGATTGTCAAAGGTATAAAATCTTGAAAGTGTATTTCCAGGTACATTGGAATTATTAGGTGAGGTCATGAACCATTTCATGGCACTTAGCATTCCTGTTAATCTCCCACTCCAAGGTAGAATAAATACTCCATTTTCCCTCTGTGCTTTGGGATACTCTGCAAGGCCTACATCATCTACATTGTCCTTGTTTACTTGGGCTGACATTATAGTTGCTTGTCTGGGGAAAAAAAAATGCTCAGCTCAAGGTTTATAATTTTTACACCTTGCCTAGTATAGTATTCTTACAGGGTAAGGTACTTTAATGCTTACACTCTGAAGCAACCATTTTGGTAGTTGGCTTTGAAAATGTTCTTAGGTCTACCTGTCCCCCATGTACAGGTAGAATTTTTATATGGGGGTGACCCAAGGTCAAACACCTTAGTAAATAATACCTTTTCTGAGAGAAAAGGTACCCTTTTTATATACCTTCTACTGGAGTGTGGAGGTGTACATGGCCATGCGGTTAACACCTTGAACTCCGGACCTTGAGGTCTGGAGTTCAAGCCTTGTCTTTTTTTTTTCTTTAGACAAGGAACTTTACTCCACCTTGTCTCTCTTTACCCAGGGTCCGGTTGTTCAAAGTTGGATGAAGATAACCCTGGGTTAGTGCGAAATTTAAATTCGGATTCGAAAGCCTAAAGGGAAAATTCAGTTTAGTTGTTTTCGTCTACAACTTGATAACTGAATGCTCTACAAAGAATAACGAAAATTTTCTAAGGAAATGCTTTTGAACAAAAGAAAAACGAACCTGGATTAAAGTTTAACCCGGGTTTAATGCTAATTAGCCTTCGAAGAACTGGGCCTAGGTGTATAATGGGTACCGGCAACACACTGCTGAGGGGTTTTCCTGTGATGGACTATCATACCATCCAGGGGGGAGTAGCAATACTCCTAAGCATGCTTCATACTAAGGAAATTGAGATGAGGTCTGGCTGTTTAGGCCTTTGGCTCGTGTGCGCCTGTACCTTTTAAACCTACTGACAAATGGAGACCCATTCACAATATCACCTAGTTCGGATTCCTTCAAGACCCGCCCAGGAATAATTATGTATTGGTCATTTGTGAATGAATTTCACAGCATTATTTTGTTATTTTTGGAGGTACTTAAAGATGGTAATTAATGAGAACAAACAAATTTGTCTATTACAAGTCTGTAAGTCAGTTAGTTGTCACACACATGTAAATCTCCAGACACAAAGGTCCAAAACTCTGAATTTGTAAGTGACATCAGGGACAGACAAATGACAAAATTTCAAAGTAGTTTACAAAGGATTTCTGCCAAAAGATTAAACATTAATTAAATGTGGCATACGTCTACATGAACAAGTACATGTGCATGCATGCCACAAGTTTTAAAGAGCGAGAGTAGGGGAAAGTTTTAATATGGAAGAAGGAAGAAGGGATCTTAGGGTTGCATAGGGCTACAGTATGAATATGTTAGTAGGTTTTACTGTTTATCTTAAATGTCTCTAAAATATATATTTCTTTTTATTATCATTATCATTATCATTATCACCATCATCATCAATAATATTATTATCATTACCACTATCATTATTATTATTATTATCATCATCATCAATATCATTATAAATCATCAGTTTTATCACTATCATCATCATCATTATTATTATCAATATCATCATAATCATTAAAATATTATTATATCACTTCTTTAACAATGGTTACATGTCTATCAGCTTGATCAGTCATGAATGTCCAACCTTCAAAGAAATACACCAACCAGGAGAAATTTGATGCTGATCACAACTGAAAGTGTCTTCTAGTCAGCTAATTAATACAGGTTATCCTTTAAATTATATGATGAGCACTTAAGAAACAAGGGGAGTATTCTACATGAGATTGAAGAGTCTGACGACAGGCCTTTCGCCAGCAGGCCCATCTACTGGGATATAATTTACATTAACTCGTCTTCACAACCTACCTTCTATTAAAACACTTTAGTAAAAGTTGAAATGCACCAACTTGCTGTTTTGAATTTATTTTTGTCATGGAGTGACCCACAGATGCTTGGGTGGGGTGAAAGATCCAGAGCCTTACAAACCCTGTTCCTGTCGAAGGATGGAGAATCATGTTTTCCAGAAACTCTACTACAGTGTACATGCTACTACCAGAGCAAACCTCTCTCCATTCTGTTGCCCTTCCTATGCTAAGCACATCATATTCCATTTTTTGTATTTTTTGTGATCAAAAAAATTCAAAAATTTGATACTCAAGAATATATTAGCCTGTGTCAGGCTCTCGGTCCGTGCCAATGAGTAAGAAAAGTGAGCAAGCAAGAGGCAAGTAATGAGTGAGCGAAAAAAGGCAAGCATCTTATTAACAAACACCACAGTCTTCTCACCAACCTGGCATATATGTTGTGGTTCAAATTTTATTTTCTTTTGTTATTGGGTATGGTAATGTGTGATAATAACATGATAATGAGTTTGAAACAAAAGAAAAGAAAATTTGAACCAAGGATAAAATTGAACCACAACATATATACCAGAACAATGCTCACAGGCTACACTTACATGTATCTTTCTCCCTCTCAGCTCCCCTGTCTTTTGCACACAACTTTCCTCGATAAGCTTTCCCTATTATCTTGGAGCCTGGACCAGGCCAAGAAAATATTAGTGTGTGCGAGTTACTGTAAGTTGCAGATCTTATGATGACTAAAATGTTGCATGTAATACAGTTAATATAGTATGTAAGATGAAGAGCCAAGTCAAGAGCTGTGGGTACAGCTTACGCATGTCTCCCCTCTTTCAGTCTCTTCCCCCTTTTTAAGCACTACCCCACCCCCCGGATTATCAAAAATCCTTTAAGTCACGCTAAGTCAGCAAAATTGCCTTCAGTATGTTTTAACGTATTAAATAAAGAGTTTCGTTTCATGCTTGGATTTATAGCTTAAATACAGTTAATGTGCCCCTTTCTATGAAACGTTCAGTGACGAAATTATTGTGCGAGGAAAATTTGATTACTGCATTTTGCTCACATAAGCAAATATTAAAACTAGACGATAGGTCAACCTACACCTAAGCGGCTACAGTTACATCTGGTTACACGTATCAGGTAAGCGCGATGAAGATCAACGCAACATACAGTGACATTCACCTTATTTTTAGTACTGTTACCTGTTATCAGTTCTATGTCAGATTAAGCGAAAATTGTATTCTGGAAGGAGAGTAACAGATCAGCTCATCCGGCGTGGTTGCTTTCGTGATGTACCCTCCATAAAAGTTCTTTATGTAAACCAACGTCTCATGTCCCGTACTAACACGCGGTCGCATAGCCTTGACGTAAATACCAACATGGCGGACGTTGGACCTTTGAAAGGAAAACCAATCGAGACGGTAAAATTGAGCTATTCGCGTTGTTCTCCAGGCGCTATATCCTGGTCTCTAGACGACAGACTATCTGTGATTACTGATCAAGGTGTTTATGTTCTGACACTTGTTTCGTCTATTCGCCCTGGATTGAATCTCGAGAAGACGTTTATACCCAACCACAGTGTGCCGTGGACAATGGATGTTGATATGAACCGTAAAAAGGTCATTGACGATAGATGTTCTGATTTCGACTGGTGTTTAGATCCTCAGCTTAATAAAGCACTATTTGAAACGATAAGCTTTGAAAAAGTCGCGTGGTCTCCGCTGAACTGTGACAACAATGGCCGCTGTGTTGTTGCAACGCTTTCCTCAGACCACCAGCTTTGTATTCATTTGCCTCCCATGCTGGGCTTTAAGTGGAAAGAAGTTGTCAATTTATCACAAGCTCTTCGTTCTCATGTTGCGGCTAACAACTTTAAGATTCATCAAAATGTCATGCAGACACAACAGGAGAAAACCAGTCAGCCAAAGCATGTGTTCAGCAACAGTGAATCTGTCAAGAAGTTCAACGAGCGAACACAGTTGCTTTCAACGACTTGTTTACACTGGTTTTCTGAAATTTACCATCACAACAGAGATTCAATGACAGATGAAACAGGAAGCTCAGGGAGTGACGGTAGATTTGCAGTGTTGGCAACCGGAAACCAGAGTGGTCATGTGATCTTTTGGAAAGCAGCACTACCTATTACAATGAACTCAACAAGTGTTGAGCTTCAAGGATTTCTTGACACCCATCAGTCCTGGCCTTGTTCTTTGTCCTGGCGGAGCATCACAAACACTCATGGGCTCTTGGCTGTGGGTAGTATTGATGGATTTGTGAAGGTCTTCAGTATTGCTGTGTTGCCGTCTGTTACTGGTTTAGCGGATTATGTGTTCTGGGGAGACAGAGATGAGATGCAGGTCCAATGGATGGAGTGGATGCCCTCTCCGCAGGCGAATACTAGTTACCAGCTTGTTGTCTCTAAAGGATCCTCAGTCATAATATTTTCACTTTCTGTAAAAGGCACTGTTCTGAGTCAAAAGCCCACCTACAAAATAATAACAGAAGTGCACAGGTTACCCATCACAGGACTGGCTTGTGCACGGGGTGGGACTGTCTTTTCTTGCAGCCTTGATGGATCAGTGCAAATGTTGACAAGCGACAAGACCCCTCCAAGATCTATTGATTACAATGCCAAGAAACGTTTTTTGTGTAATGGCATTGGAGTGTCTGCAAATGCCGTCTTCGTTGCTTTATTCCTGTTCCCTTCCAATTACACATCACAGTCTCTAGAATCTCATCAAACTCAGATCCTGTTTATAAACATCTCTGATGGATCATCAGCAGTTGACCAGTTTCTGAGCAATGAAAGTGTTAACGTGGAGAACAAATGGGATGTTTGCAAAGCTATGCAACTTTTTGTCAGCCAAAGCAAACACCTGACATTGGCCTTCTTTACAGATCCTTCCCACTATTCTTATGGTTTACTAATACTACGACAATATGTTCTCTCTCTGGTGGCCTTGATGTTTTCAGAGGGTGAAGGCAATGACAATACTAACTATTCAGTTCAGCATGAATGTACAGTAAGATACATGTACAAATGCTTGGGTACAGCAACATTGAGAAAGTGGACTGAAGGAAGAGCATCAGAAACTGTCAATCAGTCAGACTCTTTGACAGCCCTGTTAATCAGTGACTGGCTGGTAATGAATTTCAATGATCCTCCTGTACTTGATTTGGTGACCAACATTTACAGTATGTGTGGTGACGCTGAAGGCCTGAAAGCCACTTCTGCACCTCAGGGGCAAAGTAAGAGAAATGGTGAAGATCTTTTGCATGCAAAGAATGTCAACGACCCCCAAGAGCAAAACATTGCCCTGCAGAACAGCACTGAAGCTGATGATGGAAGAGGAGCTGCAGCTCAACCGATGGAAGCAAACCATGGCCCTTCCTTGACCCCTACTTTGGCAGGAGGATTGAAAGACCAGATCAGTTTGCCATCAAGGGAGAAATGCCCGATCTGTGAGAGTGACATTCCTATGGAGAACATGGAGAATGGAACTTGTAGAAATGGACACAAGTGGCAGCGGTGTTGTGCAAAATTCACTGTTTGTTCTGAACTCTTTCATAAGCGTTGTCAGGACTGTAGTCGATCTGTTTCAATGCCATACCCCGGGCTATCCCCATGGATGTGCGGCCTCTTAGAGTCAATAACTAAGTGTCCTTTTTGTTTCGGCTTCTTCAGTACCTTGTCTTAAGTCAGTTACTGTTTTGTAAATGATTGAAACATCAAGTGTTGCACAATTCAACTGTGTGTGAAACTTCAAAATGAAATTACTGCACTTTTCAAAAACATGCGAATTCTGAAGTTCCATCAACCTTCTTCCGGACCTCTTAGGAAACAAAACTTTAATGGGTTCGAAAGGTCATCGTTTGTGATTGGTGGATTTCAACCCTTTTTGTGTGTTTCTGTGTTTCAAGGTTCATTGCTTGTGATCGTAATTATGATTGACGGCAGCAAAAAATGCAATTGTGAAGGTGGCTTTTGAACTTTAGTGTTTGCATGTTTGTGAAAAGAGTTATAACTAATTCTTCTTAGCAATAGAGAGGAGAAGTGTGATGTCATGTTACCATGGAGAAAAAATTTTTGGATGACAACAATAGGGAGCTTAAGCAACGGCAATGGCGTCAGCAACAAGAATGGCAAAAAAGTAGTAGATTTAGATTAGCAAAACAACAACTTTGCATCATGCTTTTTTGTACATTTTTTAGCCGTCGTGGCACGACTGTGACATGAAACTTGCTAATTTCACATGCCTGCTTTATGGAGTAGGTGAACACAAAAATTAATAAAAATTTTCCTTTCCTTTCCATCCTTTTGGATTCAACCCCAGAAAATTTGCCAATGTTTGACAAATTAAATGAAATTAAATAAAATCAATGAAGTTTGAAACAGTGCGAATTCACTTTAAGTGATGCTTTTGGTTTGTTGTCATCCAGAAATTGTGCTACCACGGCAACATCACGCAATGACTTCTCCTCTCTATTCGCACTACTCAGTGCAGCCAAGTTTTCAGCTGAATTCAAGGTACACGGATGATAGTGTATGTGGATATATATGTAGGCTAAAATGCTGTTCAAGTGTGTTAAATATACACTAATTCAAAGCTTAAGTGTTGCAAAACTTTACAATACAGTAATTTTCTATTGTTAGTCAGTCAAACCCGGTTAATATGGACATGGAGGGGGTCATACATGTAGAAAGTGTCCGTATAAACAGGATGTCCGTATTACAGAGCAGGTTGAATTTAGAGAAAATGTGAGGGCTTACTTTCTCCCATGGATAAAGGAAAATGTCCTACTAACAAGGTTTCTGTGTTAAAGGGACAGGTTCACGGTTAAGCACATGCTCATTTATCAAAATGCTGTTTTTCTGCTAAGTCGTCTATGCAAGCAACATGATCATGTCATAATGTTGTCAAAGAACCAATCTGCACACACCCCCTGGCAGTCACTTGATGAACTTATGTGCAAATAGCTGTAAATTAAACAACCATGGAATAAAACCTTTGGGTCAACAATAAATTCAATGTTGGTAGTGTTGGCATAACCCTCTATCCTACTTCAGGTTACTCTGAAATACACTTCTACTTTGAAATACACTATCAGATCGCTGAGATACATGTGAGTGGAATATATTATTAACCAATAGAATTAATAATAAATGGAAAAAGTAATTTAATTAATGAGCATGTGCTTAACCGTTAACCTGTCCCTTTAAGTGGGTATCCGTTAAGGGGGGTTTGAATGGATCTGATATCGATTTCCATTTTTTGTCTGTTGCTGAGTTATTATTGAGTTTCAAAAGAAAAGATACAGGTATATCAAGTAAAAAATAACAAGGAAAACAGTCTAACTCAAATCACTTGGGTATTTTCTATTTATTACTTGTTGACAATATTTTATTGTGTTTTGATACAACCGTAGAGTACAGGTTGTATGTTTATGAACTATTCTAAGTTTACCTTCTTTAATATAATAATTAAATTTTGCAAGCTATTTAGCAACCCTTTCGTGGGCCATTATAATGTACTTAGAGTGTTCTTGATCTTTGCAGGCAAATACATTCTACAATGTACTTGCTACACTGTATGCAAAGCTATTAACCTTCCCTGACATTATAAAATAAAGTTAATAAAAACACAGCAGACTTGTGACTCTGGTTGTTGAAGCTCTTTGAGTATTTTTGATAAATGAACAGCGTGCAAAGAAAGTGTCCAATAGCCCGAGGCTAGTGGATTTTGCTATCGGGCAAGTGAATTCTGTTTTTAACTTGCCCGACGGGCAAGTGATGTTTTTTTGAGGAATTTGAATAACAGAAGAACTGTGAAATCAATTGTGCTTGTCAAAAAGGTTTGGGGCTATTTGATTTGACGTCTGGGCTAGTAAACTCTAACTTCAGCTTGCCCGAAAGGCAAGCTGTAAAAATGATTTTCTTTGCACCTTGAATGAATAAAATTTAATAAATAAATACATGTACACTGTAACAACGACAAAATATTCAAAATGTTTCAACATTCCTAGTTTACTGCTTTTCAAGCAATTTCATTGTCTATTTTTGCTTTTAAGGTTATTTTATGACCTTAGTTTCTCCATGTTTTAAGGTGAAAAAGCATGAGTCAGGAATCCCTTTAGACTTGAGAGCTTCTTTAAGATCTTTAGGTGGATCCAAATAATGCTGCCAAATTAAGAAAAAAAAAAACAACATTCAGCTAATATAATATTATTGTGGTGTCATTAGAAATTATAGTAGCAAAAGTTGTACATGAAACATTGAGAAGCAAAGACCAGCACTAAATGTTAATTTATAATATTTAATTATAATCATTTTCAGTGAGATTGCGCTGCAAAGAATTTTCTCGATACACAATAAATATTATGTTTAAATCTTAAAAGAATTTGATGGTACCCCACTTAGTCATCTGATAGCTCAGAGCTAGTGGAGTGACCTAAGGCCTAAGGGGGGGGGGGATATCCCCTTATGGAAGCCATATAGGTATGTGTTTTTGTGCCATTTTGGTCTGAGAACGTGTATAGATTTTGCCCACCTCCAGGTCTGAAAACGGGTACGGATTTTACAGGCCAGGTCTGAAAATGGGTGTGGCAAATTACATTTTTTGGTCTGAAATAGGGTCAGGGTTTTGAGAACCAGGCAGCACACCCCCACGAAAAAATTCCCAGGAGAATTAATTATACATGTTGCATGTCCATTTGTACAGCTGTAACATACCTCTTTTCCTGTTGGGAAGGTGCCCCAATGAATTCCTAATGAATGACGAGACTGAAGATCTTCATGAATACAGACAGCTTCTGCAGGATCCACATGTTGGAATTATAGAAACCACCTGGAAATGAAAAACAGCAACATAAAACAAGGCAGTGCTCCCAGGTGCAACCGTTTAGGTCACCATGGTGAGTAAAAAAAAAATTTTGGTAACTACATTAAGGAGACATCCAGAAGCAGTCATTTAAGTTGACGCTTAATATCAGCCACGGATTGGCTCAGCTTGAGTGCTGGCTGCAGTATTTATTCCAAAGAGAGGTTGTCCTATACTGAAAGGACCTTTAGCCACTTCTGAGCAGTACGGAGGAGTGGCATGTTTAACATTTCTGAGTTTTTGGTTGTCCTTGTCAAGATGGCTGTCCTTCTTATGAGCTCATAGATGTGAGAACACTGGGGCACATCCTGTTATGCCATTAAATACTAGAACAGCAAGTCCCAAACAAGGAGCCAGCGCAATCACAAAAAAAATTGCCTCTCTTTTCTCTCTCCCTTCTGCTGAGGAGCAGGGTGCAAAGAAAATCATTTTTACAGCTTGCTATTCGGGCAAGCTGAAGCTAGCATTTACTAGCCCAGACGTCATTTCAACTATCCCCAAAAGCTTTTCGTAAAGCACAATTGATTTCACACTTCTTCTGTTATTCGAATTCCTCAAAGAACATCACTTGCCCGTTGGGCAAGTTAAAAACAGATTTCACTAGCCCGATAGCAAAATCCACTAGCCCCGGGCTATCGGACACTACTTTCTTTGCACGCTGGGTTTTGTTTTTTGTTTGGAAATGACACTGACCTTGGCTTATATGCTCCAATAGGTATGGCAGCAAAATCAAATGGTCCATACTTCATTCCAATCTGCTTGAAGCCTCTGCAATATCCAGAATCTCCAGCAAAGAAAAATCTTTGTCTTGCCCCTATTATTGTCCAACTTCCCCATAACACTTTATTACGATCCGTCAATGATCTGCGACACCAGTGCTGCGAGGGAGTGAAGATAAACTTTGGAAAAATTTGCGATTTCTCTGGTAGTTCAGCTTCCTCCCACCATTCTAGTTCAAAGACGTTTTGACACCCACATTCACTCATCCAGTTTTTCAGTCCCATGGGAACAAACCAGCGAAGATCTTTTCCGAACCTCTGATTAAGGGCCATAACAGACTTGACATCTAAGTGGTCATAGTGATCATGACTGATACATACTGCATGAATCATTGGTAGTTCCTCCACTGTACAAGGAGGTGGTCGATAACGCTTCATGCCTAATGACTTGCTAGGCCCGGCATACGTATTTAAGTTAGGGTCAGTTAAGATATTGACATTGTCCATTTGAACCAAAACAGTGGCATGACCTAGCCAGGTCACTTGAATGGCTTCTGTGGGGGGAGATGACAAAGCTTTACTGTCAGGGGTCAAGACAGGAAGAGTTCTTTCAAGCTCCTGTGGATTTGTATACAAACAGAATTAAAAGGAGAAACTGTCTTAAAAATCAAAGTAGAAAAGGCTATAATTACCTTGTCTACTTGAACTGCAGAACAGAAAATTAGTGGGGATGACATACAGTTTGTTCTCTTCTTTCAAAAACACATCAATTTCCTGTGTTCCTAAATGTTGTCATGTAATACAATGGTTAAACCCGGTTAATTATGCGACTACCGTTGGGCCACAAAATCATCGTTCACAAAATCATAAGCATTATCCTTTTGCATTTCATTTTTCAAACAAGACTGGATCTAACGTAACAAATAATTTAAAAACTTGCCTGCGTTTTGAAGCGATACAGATCTTTCAGACCCCCTCCGATTCCGCGCTCATTTTTCTCTTTAAACATCCATCTGAACATATCTGTTTTTGAAGGAAAATTTGTACTCCCCCACGGATCAACGTATCTGCCATTAAGTTTCATGGGTTTCTGCAGTTCGTCTTTTTCGATGCTTTCGTATTCTTCCCTGCTGTCCGCCATATTGGACTCTGCAAATCGTCGTCGTATTCTTTCGACTTACTTCGGAAAAAGCTTCGCTATTCTTCGCCAATCTTCGGAGAGAGACGACACGTGATATAGACGTGACTCTACAGATCCCGGAAAGGAGGAATGACATTTCAATTTTTCTGTTGTTCGGCGCTAATCCATTTTGGTGCTCAAGATCCAATAAAGAGAATGGGAATTAGCAATTTTGGAATGCCGCATTGGTTCGTGTTGACCCTTTTGCTGCTCTGTCGCTCGTGTGAAGGATTACACTTCAATGTAACACGAGTGATACACGGAGACCACCGTGACTTATTTACGAACATGGATCCTCTTGGGAAGTGTCCGCGGCGAAATGACAATGGAAGGCAGTGGTGTTTGGACAGGAATGGAGATTGTAGTAATCGCGGATGCTGTATTTGTAGTTGCACTTATTCTCATTCAACATTTCGAATGGGTGCCTCTCCAAAAACTGCAACTTGTGTAGAAAATTCTTCTTTTCGAACATTTGCAGGTAAGAGTTTCGCAATATTTACCCTTCGAGCAGTGGTTTCTCCAGGCCGGATGCTACGGGAGAGGAGCGTCCGGTCTGGAGAAACCACTGCTCGCAGGGTACGCAATATTTTGCTTTCGACTGTATTTTCGCCAATGATCAGCTCTGTGTTTTATTAAAAAATCTGGCATGCTTGTGCATAGAAGATGTTTAATAGCACGATGTGACAGGGGAAAAAGAATATTTGTATCTTTGTAAACGAGGTTTTAAGGGGGTTTTAAGAATTTCACTTAGCGTGAAGGCGTGTTTGTCGCGGAATGAAAAATTATTTTCAGAGGCGATTTTTAATTTTTTTACAAGACTACATCAACGTGTATTTTATTTACCTTTCATACTCCACCTAATAAACGCATTTCAAGTTCATTTACTGCATATTTATCTTGGTCTAATCGAAGACTATTGCGCAATGTTAACATACATTTCCTTGCCTCTGAACAGCACTCGTCACGCAAATCTTCCAGAATTGCGTGACAACCAGATGTATCTGTAAGCATTTCCGTTCTGTATTTTTCCTTTCAAATGTAGGAAAGCTAAACATGACGGTAAAGTCATAGTTTCTTTTCTCTGTCTAGGTTGTTCAAAGACATTTGCAACTATTCTTAAGTCACAACCCCTTTTGACGTTGGATCTTAAAGCACAAGGTTCTAAAGGCATGAACAGTGCCTTGCCAGATAAGTGTAACATTACACATGCTCAGTATCTTGAGCAGCTTTCATGGAAGGATCTCAACAATAAAGAGAAGGACACATTTTACATTAGACGAGTTCCTGAATGGCCCTACACCAACCTTACGGTATGTTATGTTGTGTAATGTTTAAATTTTTGTGGGTGACAAGAGGAGCTTGTTAATCTCCAGGTTGTTATTACGCATTCGTCGCATGTATGTAGCAAGCATTTGTTTGGTCTTCCACTAAGAATGTACATTATGTATGGAATGCACATAACACAATTTGATCATGCACTTTTGAATCTTCTATCACTCTTAATCTGATCATGCCTGTTTTGACTTTCTGTCACGCAAACCTTTAGCAAAGCACAGCGCTGGAGCAAAAGCGTTTTGACCTTAAGCTAGAAGTTATTGAGCTAGCATTGGGTTAGGGGAGGGGTGAGTGGGGAGTACCCCAGAATCTCCACTTCTCTAATATTTTTGTTGTTTCTCTTTTAATTTGTATGTCATCAGTGGACTGGGAAAATGCCATCTTTGTTCTCTGGCTACATAATGAAATTACGTGGTGAATGTGGCGAAGGATCTCCAGTGCAGACCTTCTGTGTTCTGTTCAAAACAAAAGGCAACCAATCATGTGAGTGCAACAATTGTTCGTTAATACTCCTCTCTTCTTCTTAAGAGCTCATTCATTTCAAGTTTGTTAATGTTCCGGAGTTGGTGTGAATGTCATAAAAGCCCCACCCAACTATAAATAGCTTGCCCTGTAAGGTTCTTGAAGCACCAAAGAGTATTACACCTTCCTCCCCCAAGATTACTTGATGAACGTACATTAAAGCAACACTGACATAACATACCTCTTGTGCTGGATGGGCACCCAGGGCTGTCATTAGGAGCAGGGGGCCGGGGATTTCCCCCAACTATTATGAAAGTGGCCCCCGGCTACTTTCATAGAAAAATAGAAGAAAAATAGAACCAAAAGAAATCCCTAGCTGTTTGATTCCCCACCTACTCAGTGGTGGATCCAGGGGAGGGGCCCAGGGGGGCCAAGTCCCCCCTTAATTTTAGACCAAACAGAGGACCGAAGGACCGAAAAAAAAATTGTTTTTGACACCAGCCCCCCTCCCTTTATCTCAGGGTCTGGACGACCGGGCCCCCCTATCTGAAGGTCCACCACTGCTACTCTCTGTATTTACCCAGCAACTTGAAATCTTAGTGACATCCCTAGGCACCCCCTTATTTGGCCTAAAGAAGGATGTACTGGTTTCATTTGTTCAAAGGGTGGATAACAGTATCCACTGGATAAATGTCTATCCACTGAATGATGTTATTGGTTTCCTGGATACTTATCCTCTGGATAGTGATTTATCTGGTGGATAGCACCATCCATCTTTTAAGCAACTGAGACCTGCTAAACAGGGTCTAGCTTTCAGGGTCTTACATTTTAAACAGGGTGTCTGTGTGGACTAGAGCCTTGAACAGGGCGGGGGTCAACTTGGGTGGTGTGAGGTTTACATGGTCAGTACTAACAATTTTTCTAAAAATTAAATTCTATCATACATACATACATACATATATATATATATATATATATATATATATATATATATATATATATATATATGTGTGTGTGTGTGTGTGTGTGTGTGAAATAATTTATATACAATAAGGGTCATAGCCTGCGTAGCAAGCGTTTCCGTGCGGTTTAGGAGCAAAGAATGAGGAACGAGAGTCAAAGACCGCGTGAAAAATTGTTTCATTTCTTGCGCGGCCACAACCGAGAATCCCGTTCCTCGGTCTTTCTTTGCTCCGAAACCAAACGGAAATGCTTGCTGCGCAGGCTATAAGGGTCATGAAAAGTGAAACGAATGGTTTTTGTCTCAAACTGGGTCAGGCTTTGTAGGCCTCAGTGGCACACCTCTACCCAAACTTTACGTAAGTGTCCCCCCTGCTTATGGTTTTTTTTTATCAACTCATCTTATAAAGTCCTCTGTGGATCCTGCCACTAACGACACAATTTTCTTTCAAAAGGGACCTTTCCAGATCCTAAAACTCAAGCATATCCAATTACAACTTCAATGTCTATAACCACAGCAAAATCCCAAACCACAGCAACACCCCAAACCAAGGGAACGACTAAAGTGACATCTGCAGTGAAAACAACTGTTAAGGCCAAACGAACAGCAAAGGTAACTGAAAGATTAGTCTGGACTGTGTGATTTTTAATAAAAATCAAAGTACGCAGCTAAAATCTTGGACACTTCTCTAAAGCAGACAGTTGTGTTGAACTTCATGCATATCCTGTTTATAGTGTAGATATTCCTGAAATGCATACACTTAGTTCTTGGAGGTGGGGGTGGGGAAGGGGGGTAAGTACTAGATATCCAGTCAGGCTGTGTTGCACAAGTTACAGGAAGTAGAGAAGACAGTTGGGGGGTGTGGATGTGCGAGACAGGAGACAGTCAAGGCATACGAGCGAAAAAGTAAAATTATACTTCCGCCCTCGTTTCTCCCGCCCCTCACACGTGTACTCGATCTACTGTGACTCAAAAGAAAAATAAGAGACTGCTCGCAGTTTACGCGGAAAGGAAATGGAAAAGGCCACTACCCAGGCTCACTCTTTCCGCTATCTGGATTTACCAGGATTAACTTGATCCATATAGGATTTTAGACTACGAGTAGTCTCTCTTTTTTCTTGGTCTGTCAAGCCAAGCAAAGTGCGCGAGACACGCAATTGACCACGCGCGTGACTGAACTCGTGAGCGCGTGCGCGTGTACTCCCCTAACTAAATCTGAAGAGAGACTGCTTGCAGTCTAATGGGCTTTCCCGTAATAACTTTTTTACCACTTGATTGTTTTTGCAAGGCACGATATAGTAAACGAAAAACAACCAAAGCAGTTTCAGCAAGGCCCTCACCAGAGACCCCAAAAATCACAGAGAGTTCTACTGATAGTTCCGTGGCAACAAGACCATCAAAAACAGAGCCTACTACTGCAGATGTGGTAACTGTTACGCCTTCTAAAGAATACATTCCAGGGAGTAAAGAAGCAGTTTCAGCAAGGCCCTCACCAGAGACCCCTAAAATCACAGAGAGTTCTACTGATAGTTCCGTGGCAACAAGACCATCAAAAACAGAGCCTGCTACTGCAGATGTGGTAACTGTTACGCCTTCTAAAGAATACATTCCAGGGAGTAAAGAGGCTCACAAAGACAAGGAGGCACTGAGTGACAAAGATGATGAACGTAGCATGACAATGATTGCAGTCATTTCGGGAGTGGCAGCTGTTGGCTGTTTAGTCCTTGGATTTCTATGTTTGTGGTTCATTATAGTTCAACGGAGAAAAACCAGGTACGGTGTGAAGTTAACCCTTAAATTGTGGACCCCTAGCTATGACGGAAACCTAACGAGAATCAAAGCTAAATTCTCGGTAAAAAGTACAGACGTTTGACCGAAACAAACCTTGCTGTTACAGACTAATACCCTCTCCGATATGGTTTTATTGGCGGCACAAAAGTTATGAATCGGTATATAAAGAGCGTTTTCACATGACTTTACGGCGGTAAAACATTTTTGTTGTGTAAAAGCCCCCCCCGGGCGGGGGGGTAAAAGCTTTCTTTTGTTCCAATAAACTTGCATAGATATTGGCTGCGTAAGTGAAAACGCTTTATAGTTTAGACTTTTCAACATACCAGAACTAAAAAAACTGCATATCTGTAACTTTTTGCACCAGGAACGAAAGACAACGTAACTGACATTCGTCGTAACATCGACGTCATTGATGGTCCTACTCAATCGATAGAATGGACAGAAAAAGGTTTGACTAGTTTTCAAAATGTATGTTTTCAGGAAATTGTTTCTCAACGCTACCTCTTTTTAATGTGTTTTGCAGAGATCTTGCTAACTACGATGCAGGAACAACAGGTATCAAAAGTCATTTTATGCATGGAAATGTTTTTTGCCCTATCTCCAAACACGAAAAAAAGTCGAGAAAAACTTTCCGCTGAGAGTCTTTTTTTTAATGATTGTCGTTGTTGTTTCGTCATTTGGGGATATAAATCGCACTGAAGGTCTACAATTTATCTGTCACATCATTTAAGTCACAGTTAATGTCAATCACCCAAGGGGCAGGCCTATCATTTGTTAGCAACAACTTTAGACCATGCATCGTTCAACCCACTGTACTCCTTAGGGGTTAATCTCTACCCTTAGATCGCTATCAATCGGCTAGCAAAACTGGTATCTTTAACACTGCTTTGCCACTGAATAGTGATTTATCTGGCAAGTACCATTACATATAAGTAGGTTTAGTTTCATCGTCCGGGTGAACGTAGTCCTGAATAGGACTGTTGTTGTTGACAGTGAGTGACGTTTGGACAACCTGCGCGGTAGTCATCTTCAGAGTCAGGGACGATCATAGTAAACCTACTTTTGAAATGACTCCTTGATTCAAACCTTTCCCAGTATCTCCATCTATATTCTGAGCAACTTGGGCTTGATCTTGTTTGGTTTGAATGACCTTACAGTCTGTGCAAACTTTGCCTTAAATCCTTTGTTGATACAGAAAACTAGGAGCTCAGAATATTTTCCTCTACTTAAGTCTCCACTTTGTTGTCTGATTCTTTGTCCTCTGTTTTTGTTTAGTTATTGCAAACCCAACAACAGGAACACAGGTACGTAATTGTCACATTTTATTCTAACTGAGAAAAATATGTTAACTTCGTCACATGCGAGCCTACTGCCTTCAGTTAGTTGCTGGGCCCTTTAATTTCTCTTAGAATAACTCATCGGATAAAGGCCATTTACTTGTGTCATATGTGTGACAAGGTTTTGCAACTGCAAAAATGTCTTTGTAGACAGATTTTGTAAGATGGTGCATGAAGTTCCGTGGATAGACGAGAAGCAACGTTCGTACCCACGTTAAAACCTGTATTTGTTGCAAGTTGCGAAAAGTTGATGCAGAAAGAAGAGAGCAAACCGTGTATCAGTGTATGGCGTGACTCCCGCGTAATTTAATCCAAGAGAGTATTCACGCAACTTGCAACAACCTTGTTTGTTGCCAGACAGGTTTGACTCGTGGGTGGTAAAACGCGTAACATAGCTTTTAACTCGTTTTCCAGCAATGTTGCAAAACATGTTGCACGTTTCTGTCGCCCGTTTTACTGTAGCTTTAATGATGGGATTGTCGTCTTCACGTGACACTCACACCTTAACGGCTCCCATGGTCACCTCCAAATATTTTTTCCTTAGCGCGTGATGTTGTTATTCCACTCAGTCTTACCCAGTTTTACCATTTAAGAAAAGGTAAACACGGACAATATGCCACTTGATAACTCAGTAGAATTTTGATTTGCACAGTAAAATTCTAGTGTGGCAGTTTCTTTGCTCAGACAATGGCGGAGAACTAGATGAAGCAACGTTTGACAAGTTTTTATGATTATTCGTTCAACGTCGCTCGCATTTTCATTACATAACCCGTAAAATATCTGCTCGTGTTATCTAACAAAACACCTCATTTTGTTTATTTTTAATTATTGTATGGTCGTTGAAATAGTTTGACCATGTTTGACAGAATTTTCCTTGTTTTCTTAGAATCACTTTCCTATTCCGGGGATACTCAGAAATCCTGTATCTGACGAGAATACTTACATGGAACCCGTAGAAAGAACTCGCAAAAACGTTGAGAGATATATAGGTAGGTGATATATGGACATATAGCTGTTGTTTTTGTAAAAAATTAGTAATTAAATGTCAGTCTAAATCCACTGCGTCACTTTCAAGTTGTTTTTTTCTTTTCCTTTTAACGAAAAGGCTACAAATTTTGAAGACACGACCTTGACGTAATTGCCTTTTTTTCGACTTTAAAAATGACGAAAAGGCGATCATGTAAGTTCTAAAAGATAAACATTTACTTGCGTTAAAACCGTTTGACACATACACTGAACGTTGTTGAGCGGGCAAAAGTGATGTGCCCGGACATCCACGCAACAGATCATCAAGTTCCCGCTTGTTAAGTGCTTTGTGTTTTTACAGATATTGTGACTCTTTGTCTCTGCGGCGCAAGATCTTCGTGTAACACATCTACCACATGGAAAGAGAGAATGTCGAAAAATGTTCCATGCAGTTGTTTGTAATAAGATCCTACTAACAGTTTACCCCACCTACCCCTCCCCTAACCCAACATTTTGCGCCAAGAAGCTCGTGTTAACGTTGGGTTAGGGGAAGTTTCGGGCGATCCCGCACCTATTTGAAAGATTGTTTGATTAACTGGGAAAAGAATAGGGATTGTCACATAACAATACCCCTATCCCTGAAAACAATGGAAGTGCAGATTAAAGGGGATCAGTGAAATAAGAGGTTTAGAACGGTTCAGGTCTACTGCAAGTTTCCCCACAATCTTAATACTGACCCTCCGGCTATCTGAAGAGCCTTTTAAAAGCTCTGCAAGTGCATTCTTAGTGGCGCTTTAACGTTTTTATCTGTACGGCCGTCCTCGGGGAACTTTTGCCCTTCCAACCAGTTATTTGGCTTTCTTGTCATTTTCTCGAAGATCTTAGATGCTGTGTAAAGATTTACGAGAACGGGAGACCTTCTTAATACTTCTTGTTGTTGCTATTTTCAAAACCGAAACGTTTTGCGTCCTTTCTTAGAAATGATAGCCATATCTAGGGAGCGATTAAATATGGAAACCCAAGTTCGAAACTTTGCAGGGAATTCAATGGAAAACTCCTCCGGAAGATCTTGTATGTAAAGAAGAGTTCTTTTGAAACGTTTAGCCATCTCGTAGCTATAAAAATCTCTAGGTAATAGAAAACAGCTCCTGGCTGCGAGCCCCTGACAGTTTTCATACCAACTGGATACAAGTCAGTGCAGGTTACTGGAAAGAACGCAAGCCAAACGCAAGATTCAACTCGCAGAGCGTTAAGTTAAGCGTGATTTTCATATGATCACTGAACAGCAGTTCAGTAATTTTCAGCGATTGAATTTAAACAACTCTTCAATGACTGAGATAAGATTTTAAGCGCTGGGGTTTCTTATAAGCACTCCTACCATTTCAGATCTCTCGATGTTTCGCAGCCATCTTAGGCGATAAAACTTTTAAGACGGAATCCATCAGGAACTTGAGTAATTTTAATTTTCAGTGGACAAAAACCTTCTGCCAGAATAAATTTACGAATATCGCATTCTTTTTTTGCATTTTTCAAGGGCTAAAGATGTAATAAATCATCTGTAGGAACACCAAAGAAAATTTCCCATGGAAGTCCGAGAAAATGAATGTCAAATTTCACAAGAATTGTGATTACGCGGGTAAAATTCTGAAAATTTCATGTGAAAGATGTCATTTCGTGTAACTTGACATTTGTCTTCTCGGTCTCTCATAAGAAATTGTTTTTGGTGTTACTACAGATGATTTATTACATCTTTAGCCCTTGAAAAATTCAAGAAAGAATGCAAGATGCTTTAAATTACTCTGGTACAAGATTTTTGTCCACTGAAAATCAAATTACTCAATGTCCTGGTGGATTGCGTCTTAACTTATTTTATCTCTGTTATCACTTATTCAGGTGATACATCATATGACAACGATGGAGAGGTACTTATTAAGAAGAATCCGGGTGCGAAGGACTCCCTGCCTTTGAACAACATAAAAATGAAGCCCCTTAACACTTCTAATAGGAGGACACAGAGAGAACACACTTACGACAATAGGGACCAATTCACAAGAGGCAACAGGCCGGACGGAGAGAAACCAATTTATGATAATCCGGAGGACACAATAAATGAAGAGAAACCTGTTTATCAGAGTTTGATCAAGGATGATGCTCGTGCGCGGTTTAATTCTGACCCGAAGGCACCAGTGTATCAGAGTTTAAACCCAGATGGGATGATGTACCAACCATTGCAGAAAAATACTGTTCAACAGGTGAGAAGGCGCATGTCTCGGTCTAATGTGAATCTGTTTAGCCACATCCGTTAACCCTTTTACCTCTGATGGTGGGCAAAGAAAAAATAACATTTATTTTTGTAAAATCCTCAGAAATAAATGGTACCATTCAAAAGTTCTGCCAAAAAGGTTTCATTTTTAAAAATGGTAACACAACAGAACTTAATCCACAGATTTAAAAGTTAGGTTGAGACATTAACTCATTACAAGTGTTGGTCCAGTAGTTAACCCAGAATCTAACCTCTTTGTACATTTATTCACAAGACGCTATGAGCCCTAAACGTGTTTGAATATCAAATAAAAACGCCTCATTCTTGCATCATGAATTTCTTGCGGGAAACTATTTTGTCTTTTTACCAAACACTCGCTCATAACAATGTTTCATCGCGATATCAATCATATCAAAGTTCGTCAAAAATACTAGGCCAAGGGTCGGGTTTTCAACTTTGTTCATGTTTTTTTTATATGTGATGAAACACTAAAATACTGTCAAAACCTTCCGTAAGCGACCACCCAAAATGCGAAGAGTCAGTGGTCGCCTACGGGAGTCGAACTGCAGGAGGTCGAATTGCAGAGAAGCCATGATTTGCATGCAATTTTTAGGTTACAATATATGTATATCTATATTGTTTCTAGGAGATCTCTCTATACTCTGAGTAGCGAAGTACATGGAGTTAACACAAAGATCAGACATCAGACCATTGTATCGGAAGGTCGCTTGGAAGAGGTTAAAAACAATGAAAATTCTAAAACCGAGAACCGTTTACCAGAAGTTTCAATTATAAAGCTTTCTGGGAAAATTTTGGTGTCTAGAGAGGTGGTCGCACTTGGAGGTTCGATTATACATGTGTACAATACATATTGTACGGTGTTTTTGTCACTTTCGTTTGCTTGTTGGTCTGTCAAAACTAAGGCCAGGTCTCCTATGTAGCCGTTCGTTGTCTTGACACGCAACGCAGCCCTGCCTGACGAGACAGAGAATAGGGCGAAGACAAGAGCCATAATGGGACCATTATGGCTCTTGGTCGGCGACGCAAATCAGCAAGAGATCACCTAGCCTGCGTTGCAGTTGACCCGCACATCGTCCAGGCCATTACTAGAGTATACAGTTGGGTTAGAGTGTCTTAGACTGTTTCAGGCGTCACAGATCTTAGAGAGCGGGCGCAAAATTGACGAGGAAAAACAAAAACAAAAACAAAACAAAACAAAACAAAACTGGGGGGAGACTAGAGCTCGCCCCAGTTTCCCCGTATTTTCCTCCTCATTTTCCCCTCGTATGATTAGACTCGCTCCTCACCATCTGAACGCCGCGGTCTACTACTTGAACGCCTGGAAGTCTGGAACAGGCTAAGAGTGTCTGCGAGGTAGGGTCCTTATTGCCTATGTCTACTTTGCCCACTCTTTTAATACGGCAAATTGGTGTTAATAATAATTTTATTTTTCTTTAAGTGGCGAGAAGATATTCCAGAATACCTAGCTCTGCTCAATCCAAATCAAAGCCCAAGGAACCTCTCACCCAGTCCCCCAGAGTACCAGCCTCCATACTCCACAGGCCCACCCCCAGAGGACGCTGAAGAGTCTCCGGAATACGCTGATTATGCCGATTTGGACGAACTCGAGGAAATTGCAGCGAAAGAGGGCTCTACCAAGTGTCCCAAGGAGGATCCGTCTTATGCAGCACCATTGTATAATGCGCCTGAAGGACCCAGCTATGACTATGCCTGCCCGACCGGTGGTGTCGTGTATGATATTCTAGAGGGACCTGATTCTCAATCAAATGGTATCACAAATCAGGGCTTTGAGCCCCCAATGTATGCGGTCCTTGAGAGCCCTGACACATCCCCATCAAATCATTAGGTTATATAGTTAGCGACCACGATAGTTAGTGACCACAAATAGAACGTCAAAACAAGAATAGCTTTTATCGGCCAAAAAACACGTTTAAGTACATTTCTCTATGGGTCACTGCAACATACGACATCAAAAACAAAAATCAAGGTGAATCACTCTCACTGAGTTTTAAACTTCGTCCGTAAAAGTGAGGTCTGGCTTGGAATTTCCAAGAAAAATTTTCTCATTCGGCAAATTGAGTTGGAATAATCGTGAGCAAGTTTGAAAGGACGCGATTACACTTACCATGGTCCACACCCGAAAAGTCTGGCAGTTTTTGTTTTGTTTTTGTTTTTGTGTTTGTTTTGTTTTTAAGTTATATAACGCATTTAGGTCGTCGTCATATTATAATATGTCATATTATTTGTTTCGTTTTGTTCATCTTACGTAGGGTGCAAACAGGGCCTTATTTAACTCTCACACCCTTTGGCTGGCGGCCGTAAACTGTTAGAGGCGGTTGTCGCGCTCTCTTTGAATCGTTTGGGGGACTCTCGCCTTTATCAGCCAATCAACAATTCAAAAAGGTTTTTGTCATCTCTTGCCTCTACGGAGGTGAATTGCGCAACACTACATGCTCCGGCTAATGTGTAACTTGTTACATAGAGGTTCGGTTTTACAAACTAGTTTTAAAGTAAATTGGACAGCGGTGTCGAAGAGCTGAAACTTTGGCGGACTGTACACGCCCGACGGGAGAAGACGCCTTCCCTCGTCGCGCGTGTCTCGTGTCCTCTTTCGCCTCGCGCTTGCCTTTCCCTTGCCAGAAAAACGCGATAAAATCACGCCTGTTCTGCAGGCTAAAACTTAGGCAACTAACTGGTAGGATATTCTTTGGCCTTGCATTGGTCAGAGAGGTATCAAACTACTGGATAATGGTGTCTACTTGCGCATGTGTTTCTACGCTGGATAAGATTACCTTTTCCAGGCATAGCAACACGTGAGGAAGTGAGTTGTTCTTTTACACATTATAATAGGTACCATGTGACCGTGAAATGACCAATGAGAGCGCGCGTTGTTTCAGAAAAAATTCCACCTCTATAGCAATAGGTCTTTTATTTGGTTTAATGAGGATGCAATGTAGAAAGAAAGAAAGTAACTTTGCTACTTCCTCTCCACTCTCCTTTAGTTTCGCAGTCATCTTTCTTGAGACTGTATTAATAGCATGATTCATCAAAAGTAACTAGACGCTAAATATTTGATCAAAGCACAGTACAATTTGTAATAATGCCAAACAGTCACTTTACCCATTCCAACCTTAGTTTGTGTACCATAACTCCAGCTTGGTTTTTTCCTCTTCCTTTGCTAAAAGCACTATGTTTCACGAAATTCAAAAATCGCACCCATCCCCTTGAGTGTGAACAAAGTAAGCCCTTTTAAAACCTGGCATGAGTCGAGGAGGTATGAGTTAAATTGGTCTTGGTCAGTTCATCTGTTTTAGATAATCCCTTGTCTAATCTGCTCATTGCTCAAAACAAATCGAAATATTCGACAATTAATTTAACGGAGATATTTGTGTACATTTGTAACTACAGTTAATTATTATTTGTTGGATGAAAAGTAATTTCTATGAAGTATTTCTGACATGATAAGAAACTACAATTTACTACTTTGAACTCATATATTTAATTAATTGGAATTAATATTAACTGTTCAACCCTTGTTAATATATTTTCACTAGCTTGTAATTTAATTTTTCGATTTATTTACAAGACTTTTATAAAAGTTGCTTACTTTATTTAATGTTTGTTTGTTTTGCTTGTCCGCTTTCTCCCTTCCCTCTTTTTATTCTCCCTTGTCTTCTTGCTTTCCTCTTCGGGCTCCTTTTACGGAGCTCCTTTCACGGAGCTCCTTTCAGGGCTCCTTTTACTCCTTTCAGGGCTCCTTTTAGGGCTCCTTTGAACGTTACGTTCCACGCGTGACATTTTTTTTTTTACTTTGAATAGTTTTTTAATTACGAGCCAAGATGATGGATTAAGCGCGTTGAACAGTTTTCAAGCAAGTGGTTTATAATTACAGCCAGTGATTAGCGGATTAACGGTGGAATGTGAACTGGTTGTAGGAGAAAACCCTGGGAACGAGATCCCTTGTCTATAGCCTGCGTAGCGCTAGGAAATAAATGGGCGCGCCCGTTCTTTCTAGGCCTCGGCGGCACGCCACAAGTGAAAGTTCCACATTTAACAAAACCCGTTCTGTGTTCAGTCTTGCCTTTGTCGGAAATTGTTGGTGATGCGACGGACTACAGGTTCGATTACAAGGATGTGATTAACGTCACCTCTAATCTCTCTAATCTCCTCTTCTTTTTTTAAAAATCACGCTATAAATTCGTGGAAAAAGCTATCTTTATCGATGCCAATCAAGTGGTTTATTGTCACCTTCCCCGCGGGTCCACAGTGCAAGGAGTTTTTGCTTTCTATTCTCAGCTTTTCATAGGAGAAATCTTCGCTACAGAGTTTTAATTAGTTTTTCTGGTTTGTTTTCACTCGGTAATCGATAATCAAAAGAGGTCGCGAAAAGTGACTTGCAAATAAATCATAAAAGGAATCATAGATGACTTCCTGCTTTTCGGAGAAATGACCCCTTGTGTTATTTTGACAATGCGGTAAATTTGGCGCGCTGGCGCGCTTTCGAAATGGGTTTCTAAGGGGGCGAAAAAAGTGTGTTTTATTTCGAAAAAGTGGTGCTGTATTTTCTTCGCAATTCAAGCCCGAAATTGCTAGTAATGAAGAATGAAAACCTTCGCCAGCTTCAATTTTATTTCCCCGTGTAGGCAAAGAATTCCTGAGAGGGCAAATATTTGAATAGTCGGCTTACGTTTTGTTTTACCCTTGCGTCACATGGTTTGGTTTCAAATTTCTCATTTTTCCAAAGATTCAGCGAACACGATGTTTGCACTATTTGTTCCTGCGATTTACTGTAATGTTGGGGAATATTTTGCCTCTTACAGGATTATGTGTCGTGTGGTATTTCATAGTCAAAACCCGTGGAGAGGTCTTTTACAGCGAGATAAGACGCGACTCGAACGATGATACCTTCACCAACGAAAAGTGCAATGAAACTTGTAGCTATTTTGGGGCAACGAACTATCCAGGAGGCTGCAAATGCAAGGCGGAAAAGTCAGATTCGCTGTTTCTAAGATCAAAACGAACTTGTAAGAACGGTTTAGATTTTAAGGGTAAGTAAACTTGGGCTTTACAAGCCATTATATTCTCGCTCTAATTTTAAAAGTTTCAATATCCTAGTCGACGATTGTCAAGGATGTCCGAGATGATCCAATTTTCCCAGCCAATTCCCCACACTAGCTATATAAGTCTGATTAAAAAGACTAATATATTGACATTAATATTTTAACACAGATGAATATGGCTGCCTCGGTTGGGACTTCGCTTCTGCAATCAATATCAAGGTTCTCAATGTTACAATAATGAACAAGACATATCCATTTATGAGAGGATTTAATATGCGGGCCATGTCATGCCACCTAACATCATCTATAGCCTTTCTGGATGCTGCAGGAAATTTTACCAAATTCAATATATCTCCAGGTGTGCTAGAAGTAGGAAACATCAATGTACGGTATTCCCGAGAATCATATATAAAGGTATGCCATGCCTATTATTGAGTGGGTATATTAATGTACACCTGAGAGAACTGTTGTTAGTGTCTACTTAATTATACTAGATTGAGGTATCTTGGTACAGGGCGCTGTTTACAGAAACTATATATTGAGAACGATGTTTGGGGCTCACCCATGCCAAACACATGAGGTAACTGGATTCACTGTCTAGTGATTAAAAGACTAAAAGACCAAAAAATGGACAATGTTTGGTTTTAAAAACAAATTCAAAAGATTAAAATGTTTGCAAGTAACTACATTAATGAAATACAGAATAGTACCAAATAAAACTTATCACTGCTCAAGTTTACGATGTTCCATAACTTGTGAACTTGTACAGTGTAACTCTGGTGCATGAAGTGTTTGTGTCCAAACATTGCAAAAGCTTGATGCGTTTCTATACAGAACAGTTTATTAAAACTCATGGAACTTTCTTAATAGATCATTCAACACTCTGAGAGTCTAACCAACAAAAGTGGTCATATCATTAAGCTTGATTTGAACTGCACAGGAGGATCAAGACGTTGCATCAAATGTCTTATGTTTAGAGTGGAAGGAGTTTTAAATTGTAAGTATTAACCAACTGGACGCGTGTGTGGTGGAGTGTTTAATACCTCGAACTCTGGATCTAGAGGTCCGGGGTTGAAGCCTTGCCTGCGCATTGTTTCCTTAGACAAGGAACTTTACTCCGCTTTGTCACTCTTCAACCAGGTGTATAAATGGGTATCGGCAACATACTGCTGGGGGGTAACTCTGCAATGGTCTAGCATCCTGTCCAGGGGGGAGTAGCGATACTCCTTAAGGCATGCTTCTTGCTAAGGACACCAGCATAAGCTCTGGCAATGTGGGCCTTTGGCTTGTGTGCACCCCTACCTTTTTAACCTTCATTAACCAATTAAACTCTAATTAACAAAATTCAAATTGTCATAATTTACATACAAATAAATCCTTCAAATTTTCAGTGGCAGCAGCAATTACCGGTACTGCTTTTCAGATCGATATAAGGCAGAAAATTTACAAGTTACCAAATTTTTATACGGTCCTTCAGTTTCCGCCAAGAATCATTTCTTAAAATTTAATTATATTATTAATGTTTTCTTGTTTATCAAAATTAAGTTGATCACGTGACCAATTACCGTAAAAGGATGATTTATTTTGATTTCAGTTTGAATAATAAATTAATAACAATATTATTACTCAATACTGAATCGGGAAGGGGCGTGAGTTAATTTGGCGTGCTAGTTATAGATTTAATTAAGTGACTGAACATTACTCTGAGAGCAGTTGTGTCAATAAATTAACAGAGGCTCTAGCAGACAGACTGTAAAAGAAATGTGTAGAAATAACAAAATTGCTGACAGAAGTTTCAAGTTTATTTTTTATACTCATAACAGTAATAATATTTAAAATTCTACTGACCTGCAGGTAGCTAAGCAAATAAAGGCGGGTCAGTCTAGAAGGAGCTGCAACCTCCTCCTCTCTAAACTCCAGCCCCTCCTTCCAACTTCCACTAAATCTACCAATCATAGTGGGGATCAAGTGGCCCTTGTAGAGATGCTTAAATGGGTGAATGTACATATGTGTCAACTGTTCGCTGGGGATTGTCACAGAGAGGTGGCATGGCCTATGTCAGGTTTAATTGTATTTTGGTCCCAGAGAAGTTCATTAATTTTTAATATATTGAGAATTTCAAATAATAATAATAATAATAAAAAGCTCCAGTAGTTAACAACCACTATGTTTATGGTTCTTTTTGTGTGTCTCATTGACAGTTCCATTGTGCAACTATACAGGGCCTACTACACCTACTACTACACCTACTACTACACCTATAACAACTACGTGTACTACTCCTCTTACAACCTCTGTAAGTATCAGTTTTGTCTATTGAAAAGTCTTAAAAGAACATTGCAAAGGGTTTGAACCCAGGAGCAATGTCATAAGTGAAATATGAGTGTCCTGGTGAGTGTATTTCTGAAGTTGTTGCAGACAGTATTTGACTTTTGGCAACTCAGTACATAGGTCATCATCTGAGAGTCAATAACCAACGAATCCCCCCTCCCCCTGCCTTTCAGGTTGTCAAGACCACATGTCGTATCCTGGACTACACTAACCCAGGCAATCATTTTTACCTTCTTTTAAAAAAGAAAAAGTTCTGTTCTCTGCAGTCCAGTGATGATATATAGATTTAGCCAAGGCTAAAAGGGAAGCTTCGATAATATTTATAGTTTGCTCAAACAAAATATAAAATCGTGTAATGCTAAAGGTAATGTTACACGAGACGATTCGCAACGATGATTTTTAGCGCAACACAGCATTACAGCATGGTTGCGGCATTATTTTGAATGGTTGCAACATTGTTGCAACATTGCAACGCTGTGTTGCGCTAGAAATCGTTGTTGCGAATCGTCTCGTGTAACGTCTCCTTAAGCGGCGAAGGCAACGAGAACGCTAGAAAAACAACAACAGTTCTAATTAGCAAAACAGCAACTTTGCACGTGCAGCACACTTTTCTTGTACATTTCTTTGCTGTTGTTTTGCACGACTACATCGTGAAACTTCCAGAAACTTCCTAGTTACACATTTTATCTGCAGGAAATGTTGAATGTGTTCTTGTTCACCTTGGTGGCCACTAGCATTTCTCATTTTCTCCCCGTCGCTAAAAAAATTTCATGTTCTTCCAACAAAAAAATGTCTCCGTTGCTTTTTATCTCTCGCTCTAGCTCTCAGTCGCTCTTCTCGTTGAGCTTCGCTGGCCTGTCACCTACTTTCTCTATTTCTGTTCTCCATATTCCAGATTTGTGGACATGACCATAAATCTAAGCTTTTTACTTCAGGAAATACGGATACAGAAGCAATTTCCGCTTTCCGTTTTCGTCTTTATTGACTCTAGTTGTCCTGCTTCACAAGGTGCGGGTGGCTATGCAATTTCCCGCCTAAATAACCTCGAGTTGCATTTTGGTTAACCTGCGATCAGGAGATTTTTTGTTTTTTTTTTTGGCGAAAAAAAAAAATCGCCTGATCGCATGTTACATTTTGGTTGCCATACCTGTTGATTGATTGAGTTATTTTACATTGGTATACCTGTGGTGCGGACGGACGGACGGGCGTACGGTCACGTGATTACCAAAATTTCTCGGATGAGTAGATTATCACATTTCCTGAAAAGGACCCTCTATCACTCATAATCTGATCACGCGTGTTTTGACCATCTGGCACGTGAAACCTAGGCAAATCACAGCGTTTTGAACTTAGATCGTTGTCGCCCGTCTTCCTTAGCCTTTTTTTTGTTACTAGTGTACCCATATATGGAGTAATCATGCGCTTAGTGGGCTAGACCTCTCACCAACAATTGCAGAACATCATCGTAACATCTGTCAGCGCACTTTCATGAATATAGTTAGCGATGGCCAGCATAAACTTAGAAAGCTTTTGCCGCCAGTATTTTCCACACAATTCAACGTAAGGCGTCCGCGCATGTGTAATCTCATCGCGCTTTGTAAGACCAGTAGGTTCAAGAATAGTTTTTTAATGGTTCCATGTCAACAGTCTGATGAATCTTGAAATTGTTTGCAAGATCTTAAGTGCTTTTAATAATTATTAGTGTATTTGCCTGTATGTCTATACACATGTTTTGGGTTTTAAAATACGTTTTAAATTTTATATGTTAATACGCAATTCAGCCATGTACGGCTGAGACGTATTTCTTTCTTAATAAAGCATCTATCCAAATGATCACTCCTTTTAATCTGGGGCTAAATACATTACTAAGTTACCTATAAAAACGGCATTTTGCCCTTACATCTTAAGTTCATTAATGGCAGCCTTGGAGGTTGTACACTGCTATTTTACAGTAGCATACTTATGGTTTACTTTTTTCTTGGACTATTACAGTCTCTACCAGTTGCGGAGATTATTGGGGGATCCCTTGGAGGAGTTTTATTCCTGGCTTTCATTAGTGCTGCAGTACTCTACTACCTCTATAAACGGAACTACATTTGTAAATCAAGGTAGCATATATTATTGTCTAATTTAGCTATAGGCTGGACGAGCCAGCAGCGAAAAGGCGTTGCGAGTCGTTGCGAGCAGCAATCTCGAGCGAGCACGAGCGGGCAAAAAACGGCGGGAAGAGTCCCCAGTCCTCTCGCGGCTTTTTTTTACATTTTTCTCGATCCGTTTCCCTCACCATCTTGGATTCTGGAACAGGCTAGTTCAGCTACAGTAGATGATGTATACAGAAAAAAAATGTATGTTTAATTACTGCTGGTAAGAACTAGGAGCGTTGAGTAGAGTTAGAGAGTTTATTTATAATCCTGTTAATTTTTCTCAATGCGACCTCGATAAAATTTCAAACGTTGATTAATTTTCCGTTTTCAAAAATCCAGTTTGATATATACAGCTATTTCGAGAAAGGCTGTCGGAAAAAGTGCACGTGACAATCCCGAAAGGCATTTTGGGTGGTTTTAAGTTCACTGTTCTTTAAAGAAATTTGTAAGAATTGGTACGAAAGGCCGTGGAAATGTGTTTGCGAGTGCTAAAGGAAACAAAGGTAGGTTCGACAGGTACAGTCGTCAGAAACAGCGTATTGATCATATCCCATATTACCTTTCGGGATTGTCGCGTGCACATTTTTCCGACAACCTTTCTCGCATAGCTGTATACATAGATCAAGGTTACAACTGTACGAGTACTTCTTGAACTTAAGAGCCGTCTTTCCAGTTGTCCTTTTTTTTCTTTTTTTTCTCTTTTAGCTAAGCTAATGGTGTCAATAGTTTCGCTTGATTTAGAGTTATGCTGTGTCTTCACCCGTAAGCTTTTCACCAGTAATTTATATTTTTCTAATTTTCTTGGTAGGAAACGACAAAATAATATGGCTATTGCAGGTAACAAGTAAACTGTAAACTTAGATCTTTTTTCCAGCGCTCATGCTATGACTATCAATTACCTCACATTTTTTATTATATTTTTTATGTTATTTCTAGTGATACCCAACCCAGCTCAACAGGTAAGAGCGTTAACAACATCGTTAAAAAAATTTCCAAACATATCACTACTTTAAGTTTTGCCTTTTTATGTCCTTTTCTACTCTAATTTTTTGTCCTTTTTCCGCTTTTTTGAAGTGTGACAGAGAAAATGAAGAGCATGTATATGCTGACCTCTTAGATGTGTGTTCGAGTAACGACCAGAGTTCAGGTCGGTTATGAAACATCCTGGATTTCTGCATTTTTGTTTTTAATCTATCCATTTTTTTCCTTTTTACGAAGAAGATCTCAAACAGATGGTGTTCTTCAGCATCTTGAGTACCAAACTCACATGCCGTTAGTCAGCAGGCTCTGCTGTATGCTCTGCGGTTTTGTTACCCCTAAAAGGAGACGCAGCAATCCTCAATCCTAACCGTTTGCAGATATGCAGCTTTACTTTGTACCTTTTCGCGCCAACTGGGAGTTATACCGACCCGTATTTCGCTCGGTTCACCGGGGTAGAGTTCAGCTGAACTTACCAGGTACCCGAAGGATTAGCATTAGGGTGGGGTTGGCGGGGTGGGGGGAGAGAGACGGGGCGACAAAGGAGATAGGATACATATGACGTGCTATATACTGGGTTCAAGTTGGATGCATGATAGTCTGCGAGTAAACCCTCTTTCGGGATATCGTGAGAAATTCCTTTTCTTCTGTCCCTCGCGGCTTCACCGCTTACTCTCTAGTTATCTCGTCACTCGCTTCGATCTTCACTCGAAATGGAGAACTTCGACCGTCTTCCAATTCTCAAACTATTGTTGACGGTTTTTGGCAGGTAATTCAGTTGAAATGAGGGAGCTGAAACAGTCAGAAGAGAAACCCATACTACTTGTTTCAAATCCATATGTAACGGATTCATCGCTATCAAGTTCAAGGCCCCTACCATTCCGGCCCGACCAAAACAATGACCATAACGTTGTTGGTCAAGGTGATGTTTCGTTGGTCGTTGTTGGTCAAGGTGATGTTTCGTTGGTCTTGGAGAACCCAGGTGGTCAAGAGAGTCAATCTGAATCATTGCTAAGAGTGAAGGATGACTTTGTTCATCAGCAAGAATCGAGTGAAGAAACAGAAGTGGAATCGGAGCATCATCAGCACCAGCATCATCACGGGGATGCAGTTGATGGTGAGAGTTTCGTCATTGATTTCCCGAGTGGAGGAGGGTTTTCCCTATACAGGGAAGGTTCTTCCCAAAAGGGTTCCTTTTTCATGCGTCAGATATATCAAAGGGTAGGGATTTCACTATATTGTTGTAGTACATGAAAGAGTAGGCAAATCTGTCATTTCGCTCTGCAAACGGACCTAGAAGGGCTAACAGACGTATGTTATGGCTGGGACGACAAGAAAACGTCCTGTTTTAATGATTTACTCATATTAAAAAGACGATGAATTTACAGGAGTTAAAAAAAGGGATGTGAAAAGGGCACCATTAGGCAATAGAAGGTATACGAAAAGGGTACCTTTTCTCTCCAAAATTGTAAAATCTCGCGTCCCCAGCGGGTATCAAGCTCCTGTTTTCGCAGTTACGGGCATAGTTGCTCTACCGCGATTGAAAAACAAGACACTTTCTTTGGTTATTTTCGTTGCCAGGGACTGAAGATGAAAACCCTGATTTATATCAGGGATTGGAAAAAGGAAACAGAGCTCAGAGTATGTTTATATGTCCGAGCTGTAACGCGAACTCAGATTACCAGAGACTCAGCAGACCAGGACATTGTCCACATGAAGGAAACCAGGAGCGAGAAGAAAAGAGTCGATCTTTTTATGAGAGCTTAACAACTGAAAGAGGCGCTCGAGAATCAGTGTATATGAACCCATCGCGTGCCGATGAGGTAAGGATTTTTCTCTTTTCTTTTAGACCATTTTTTTATTTATTTCTTCCCGAGCAAATCAACTAGTGGCCGAGGAAGAAATCTGCCGCCGGACTGGTGAGCTCTATTGTCAGGTAACAGATTTTGGAGCGAATGGTCCCATTCGATTTTTGACCGGACCAAGTCAATACTCAGGGTCTTGAAATAACTGAGTAGTACTTATGTTCCTCCTTTCATTTGATCTGTCCTCTGCTAATGGATAGGCTGATAGGCTCTTCGGTTTTCTGAGATGAGGCTGAAGAACCCTTGGATTTCGGAGCGACTGGTCCGGTTCTATTTCCAACCAGACCAAGTCAACACTCAGGGTTTTGAAATAACTGAGTGGAATGTTCTCTCTCTCATTTCCCCTGAATCTACAAATGGAAAGACTAACAGACTTGCCAGTCTTCGCTAAAGAACCTTTGGACCCGTCTTACAGCATCTCACTGATTTGACTCCGTCTTGTGGAACAAATTTAAAAGCTGATTTAGCAACAGAACGGGGGCGTCAGTTGACGACTGCGCGCGCAAATCAAACAACTGGCTTGACCAATGGCAGAGCGTCAAATTGGGCATCGGAAGTCGAGTTTAGTCCTTTCCGCGCGCTTTCCCGTCGTCAAATGACGTTCACCTTCTGTTGCGAAATCCTAAAAAGAACGCAACCACTCACTAGGAACGCGGTAACAATCTCTAGCGTTGACCACCTCTAATGTCTTGCTGTAATTGTTTGTGGGAATGGGTAGGAATGGCTGCTTGCATGGGAACTGCGAATCCCACCATTTGGATAGGTCTCTGTCCAATTTGACCTGTTTGATTACAAGGTCCTGGTAATTGGACAGGTCAAATCGCACAGTTTTGGTGCTGTAATAGCAAAATTAAGTAATAAATATGGTACGTTAAGAAGACATTTGCCTCTCGTCCGTGCCATTGGGTCTGTTCTGTGGCTAGTAAAGGTAGGAGAACGAAAAGGAAACAAACCAAGGCTCTCCTGAGTTGCTTGTTGATGGTAATACACATACCGTAAAATTCCGAAAATAAGCCCCGGGGCTTATATTGTTCAAGGGCCCTTTTTGAGGGGCTTATCTACGGAGGGAAATTTACGTTTCAAAATAGATTGGGCTAGCCTTATAGTTGGAAGTAAATTTACTGTTTTTGCTTTGTTTTACTTTGTATTTGAGGGCAATTTCCAAGTACAAGCCCCTGGGGGGCGTATATTTGGAGGGGCGATTTAACGCAGGGTTTTTTGCGTTACGAGTTTGGGGGGCTTATACTTGGAGGGGCTTATACATGGAGAGGCTTATTTTCGGAATTTTACGGTATTTTGCGCAAAAAAATACCGTAAAATTCCGAAAATAAGCCCCTTAAGGGCCTTTGAAAAATGCAAGCCCCGGGGCTTATTTTCGGAATTTTACAGTAGTTTACGTGTTTAATGAGACCAGTACTTAAACATTTTAGGAAGAACAAGACAATGCAAACAAGATGCCTGATTATCACACATTAGAACCAGACGAAACAGGTACGTGTTATCACTGAGTCTATACGCCTTAATTGATTTCTATCCTCTCGGTCCCGAGCAACTTACAAACGTAAAAAAATTGCAGTGCAGTTAATCATAGTTAATGGAGGAGACTGGTTATGAAAGGCGACGAAAAGTAAGGATAAAAGGTAACGGTGCTGCAGTTTATGTTGGAAGTTCCCTGACCGTTACAGTCATGATCCTTTGTTTTTTGCTCACAAATTGTGATGGAATAAATCAATGCAACGTTTTATTGGTCGATAAGATCAAAATAGAGAGTTTAATCTTCACGTATACGCCAGAACTTCTCAAAATAGAAAATGAGCAGACAGAAACAGCTCAGATAATTCTTGTGAATAACGTGAAATTACTAATTTATGTGTAGAAATAATGAACAGTAGGCGACAAGCAAAGGGGAAACTTTGCGTTTGCCGTTTGACGTAAACGTGATGCTTAACCTCTCTACTGATAGGAATGCTACTGAACCGGCTCCTAACGTTGTGCCCAGGCAGATCAATAAAAACATATAGCAAAGGCGTCTGGCGACCTTCATAACTATTCCACTCTATTAACTACGGGTTAACATAGCATTTCTTATGAGTCATCATAGCCAAGTGTTAGTAGCCTGCCTTAGGGGGTAGGGGAGAGGAGATTTCAGAGGGCGAAGGTGGGAGGGAGGGGTAAGGGCTAGAGAGAGGGAGAGAGACGGGGGCCTGACACACAACCATTAAGCGAACCGTGTGACAAATCGAAAATCTGATTGACGGACGTCTCCTCCCCCCTCCCCCTCTGGCCTTCGAAATCTCCTCTCCCTTGACCCTTAAGGAAGGCCTGACACTCAGGCTAGTGTAAATATAGTATGATTATGACCATAAACGCGACAGTTAGCAGAAATAGTTCAGCTCCCCTTAGCTGACTTTGGGGCAAAAGATTTGAAGTTCTTGTGGACGATGTACTCATCTCTTGCTTTTTTGTCTTTTTTGTCTGCTTTCCTCATAAGAGCCAAACGATGCCCAGGAGAAACCTACTACGCATGACTACAATGTGTTGGAGGAACCCGACCAAGCGAGTATCGAACCTCTTGACGACAAAAAACATGAACCACCAGTAAGCCCCAGAGCGGACAATAGCCCCGTATACGCGGAGCCTTGTAAGAAAAAGACCTCTAAGAAAGTTGAATCAGGGAGCAGTGAACTTGACGAGGAAAATAACAAAATGGAGGATGTTTGTCCCAAAGATGAAGATCGAAATGAAATGTTGGACCCATCCGTGTTTGTTCAAGTGGGAGACAACCCAGCAAATGTACTGCCTGGGACCGCTAAGAAGGCTGTATCAGCGTCTAATAAAGTCGACGAGGAAAGAAACAAAATGGAAGATGTTCGTTCAACAGATGAAGACCCAAGTAAACTTTTGGATCCATCACAGTTTCTTAAAATGGAGGATAACCCTGCAAATGCGCTGCCTTGGAGGAAGAAGATGGATGACGAAGATAAATCACCTTGCTGCGAACTTGACGAGGAGAAACGCCAAACGGACGATACTCGTCTTTAAATTTTTACTCGAGTCGAAAGGATACATTATCTCTATCCTAATATTTCGTGATTGTTTTTACAAGAGGGCCGTACAGCTAAAGAGGAAGGCCATTTGGCATAAATTATTTAGCTTAAAATATAGTTTTCTGCATGGCAGGTTGTTTATATCGATCAAACTCTGCTCGTTTTTAACGATTTAAAAATCGTTAAATCATTTCATGTATCCTTTACACTATCAATATAAATTTGCATGCTGTAGCATCACCGCTTATTGTAAGGTGGTCAGATGTGCCTAGTAAGCCTCACCTTTTAATTCCTTATATCAACACATTTTCTCCCTCTGGTAACAGATACCACCAGTTCGTAACTGACAGCAAAATGTAGAATCGAGAATTTCACTTTTATGAACATATAATTCTACCCCTTAGTGAACAAACACCTCGTGATGGGAATCGGACACCTCAAGAATGGCGCTCTCTAACGCCAACACTAACTTCACTGCAAAAGCGGCTGATATTCATGCAGTGCACACTCTAAATTTAAACGGAGAGAAAACGAGTACAAGCTACAAGTAAATGGCACAGGTTAATGAGTATCGGTGTCGTCCTATCGTTACCTATGTTACCAGTAAATTATCTTTAGCGTAAATCAAATTTTCTATTCGTCCTTTTGTATTCTTTCATGGTTCTCACAATCTTGAAAAGATGTTGAATTTTACTAGTCGTCTTGAAAAACTGTAATTTGTCCCACAAAAATCCTTGAAATATCCTTAAAATTTCTTTGTCTGAAGTTGTACGAACCATGTCTTTGAGGCTTTTCCAAGGTAACTCACATAAGTATTAACTGCGAACCGCTGTTTTGGTCTTTGATTTTTGGCGGCTTTAAACATAATCAGTCAATCATATTGAACGCCATGTGTAATATAAGTGTAGTATATAGATGCCGATGAAGTCAAGGCCGTGATAGAGCTTAAAGCTTGTTAGAGTGTTAGTGATGTTAAATAATGTAAATCAGTAGTATTACCGTAAATGCTCGAATTAGCGCCCGGGGCGCTTATTTAATTTTTTAAGACGAGAAGGGGGCGCTTATTTGAAGGGGGGCGCTTATTTCGTTTATCAATTTTTAGCCTCAAAATGACACTATCTTTATTTCTGATTAAAACCAACTTTACAACATAAAAATTCAAAAACCATATAGAAAACTACTTTTTGGGAACTCGAAACGTTCTTAAGACTTTTTCATCAAAAAGTGTATTTTATTTCTTGCAATAGAACAAGCATTTGGATTCTTAATCAACTTCAATTTCTGTATCGCTGTCCTCAAGGATGGATATGGATATTTCTATCAAGGAAATGAGAGGCAAACCCGTGCGACTTTGAAAGGACATTACTGTTTATACTATTTAACAGTGTCACATTTCATTAAAAGAACCGTATAGACTGTATACGTCTCGTATATCGTACCGAGTACCGAAACTCATTTTTTCTCGGGAGAGGGGAGGTGGGGGGCGCTTATTACAAATTTCGAGCCTTAGGAGGGGCGCTAATTCGAAGTAGGGGGCTTATTTGAAGCTGGGCGCTAATTCGAGCATTTACGGTAGTTGTTCTGTCCTTGTTGCTTGGAGTAATCTCCCCCATTAATTAAGACTTATTATTTAAGTTAATAAATAATGTATTTCAAAACAAGGTGATATCACTATCATAAATGACATATTCGAGATGTAGTTTCTTTATGGAAGGTTGTGTACATTATTCCCCACTGGGAAGGGGGGGGGGGGGTTCTCCGGATTTCAAGTGATAGGGATGATCGAATGGGGGCAAACATCTCAACCCATAAAAATCCCTAGGACTTCAAACAAAACCCCCCGAAATCCCTGGACCAAAATTTAACCCTCGAAAAATCCCATGCCGAATTTCCTAGCCATAAACATGTCAAAAACATGAATATTTGAAACGTCGGTTCTGAATACCCAAAAAATCCCTACTTCAAAAAAAAACTTTCCAACCCAAAATAATCTCTAGATCGAAAATTGTAAACCAAAAAATATCCTTCGATCATCCCTGTCTCTTGAAATCCAGAGTACCCCCCCCCCCTTCCCCCCGCTGGGTTATTCCCCTTCTTAGATCTTCTTTTGGTTGAGCCTGTGCCAGGCTCTCAGATAGTATATATAGTGGGAACGTATTAAAACAAGCGAAGCGAAAATACGACGCGCACAACTAAACGACTTTCCACCACCATCTCGGAGCCTGGAACAGGCTACTTTTGGTTATGTAAATAAGGCTAAGGGATGCCTGGTTTTTAAATTTGAATTTTTTTAAAGGGGGTGTTGCCTTCAAGATATATACCTTGCGAAGAAATCATGACTTACAAGTCACTTAACGAGTACTTCTCCATCATTTATGAATATATATATTTTTATTTTTCCGATTAAAAGTGGCATGAATTTGGTCTCAATAATAAATTTATAAACGGTGCCACAGTACATATTGTACACCAGTGCAAAGTTTCGTTAACCTGCGTGGCATGCGTTGAAAAGGGGTAAAAGGGAGGGGGCTATTTCTCTCCCCCCACCCCCATGCCCCTGTCCTTTTTGAGCCTGCCACGCAAGACTGAATTCTGTGGCTGAACACAAGGAGAATGTTGGTAGGGCTGAGTGGACCCCGAGACTGGGTGAGTCAGGTCTTGGGATCTTAAAGTACGTCGTTTGTTCTCATCTGCAAATGGTCAGACTTTCTAGTGTTCTCGGGCAAGGTTGGAAAACTGCAGTTTCCTTCAAATGAGACCTCTTCAGAAAAACCTTTGCACGGTACTCATGTTCCAACTTTTGGCGAGTCTTCGCGGATTTCCTGCAGACATCAAGGCGGCCATGTGCACACTGATCGATGGACAGGAAAAAAGAACGTTATCCTTCAATAAACTCTTCTTTCATGCAAATTCTAACGGAAAACAATCGAAAAAACCGTGTCACGTAGCTAGATTTCGTCACAAACCGGCATTTCATTACGTTTCATCGCTAAGGAGATAAGAGTTCAAAAACTCATTAATAATTCATGAGCTTAACAGCCTATCAGGTCTGCTAAAATCCGTCACGTGCTCGTGTTTTAAACTCCGGTAAAACACTGTCAAACTAAAAAGCCTGGGGCGACATTTGATTTCAGTCTTAGAGGAGTGCGGGGCTGATTGTATTTTGCTTTGTTGAGATTCTTTATTTCAAAATTTTATCCTCGTTAGTATTCTTTGTCCTTATATAAAAAATACTAATAAGGATGACATTTTATTTCAATGCACGTGACCATGAATATTAATTATCAGAACAGCAACTGACACAACAAACGGTGGGTGAAAATTTAATGTTCTTTCAAGATAACACGCGCAGTAAATTTACCACTTCAAAAACTTAAACTTTGTTATTTCATCAATTTAATCAGCCAAAAGTTCAGCGGTAATATTGGATATAGCATTGTCCAAGCGTTGCACTCAAGACTTGCCAGTTGTGTATACGCAAGCTTAAGGCTCGAGTACTGGATTTTTGTTTACCTACCATTCAGCCATTCCAGAATTTTTTTTTCCAAAGACTACTTTTTCAGTGGAATACCGTAAAATTCTGAAAATAAGCCCCTCCATGTATAAACCCCCCCCAGCCCTAACTCGTAACGCCGAAAATCCTCCGTTAAATCGTCCCTCCGAATATAAGCCCCCCGGGGGCTTATACTTGGAAATTGCCCTCAAATACAAACTAAAATGAAGCAAAAACGGTCAATCTCCCTCCAACTATAAGAAAGTAAATCGATTTTGAAACGCAAATTTCCCTCCATAGATAAGTCCCTCCGAATATAAGCCCCTCCAAAAATAAGCCCCTCAAAAAGGCCCTTTGAAAAATACAAGCCCCGGGGCTTATTTTCGGAATTTTACGGTAGTTAACTTTGCGGTACCTTTTTCAATTAACTTCCTCTCTTCCTCGGCATTTTTAGGCTTCCGAAAAGCTCTGAACAAGACGCATGTCCTCTTCGGATAGTGTCGTTCGTAGACTAGAAAGTTTCTAAACACCTGTGAGATTTGATTTTCCTGCATAATAATTTAATACGTAATGTTTTTTTCGTATGCTAATTTGCAACGTTCACAAAAGCGTCATTGTTATCAACTCCATTAAGACACGCTTTTCCAGGAATCTTTTTGAAGTCGTTCAATAAACTAGCGGGTCGTGTTTTTATCGGGGTATAAAGCCACTAGGCGAAATTTATACCCCGATAAAACACTCCGGCTCGTTTATTAAGCATTACATCATAATAGGTCATATTATGATCTTTTGGCTACCGTGTATTAATTCATGTTCGCCGCACTAAACCTGTATTGTATCAGGAGTGCCTGTACGATAGATCTTTACACGTATCCGTCCAAGTACTTGTCTTCTTCTCAGAAAAGCGAATATTTTTTCCGCAAGTTCAAGAACATTGTATGTCCCCTTCTGTTTAAAAACATTTATATTTTTTATATATACTGACTGGCTTGAAATCGTTTTAAAATTCTTTCTCCCTTATTCTGAAATAAACTGTTTTGTCGACAAAGTTTGTCTCGCCCGATCACTTTAATTGTCTCCTCGTTTTCTTTTCTCCAATTGAATTCTAAAAAGATAGAGGATTGGCCTAATGATAAAGTTAAGTCACATTATGTAAACAACAAACTTGATAATAACTACTTAAGCAAAAAAAATAGCTTTAAGGTATTTGAGAAGACTTAAAAAACTTGCTAGGAGAGCAATGGAGCATTCTTAATATTTCACGCAAGATCAGTTACTGTGACGTAATGAGTTTTCGAAATTTTCCGTTTTGATCCGTCCACTTCACTTTAGTGACGCGTGGAAGCCGAGTGGCAGGAAATAGTTTCCGTTTGAATATTCCTTGACGCTGACAAATTTGTTTTGCTCAGTATCTTCTTTTCTGAGAATTTGGATAAAACCAAAGCACGCGCCCCAGGAATGCAGAACGTCCCGTCACTTTAGGTTGACGTGCGGCTATCCGATTAGCGCTAACCCGGGGTTAAATTTAAATTCCGGTTTCTTTTTCTTTTCTTCAAAAGCGTTTTCTCAGATAATTTTCTATATTCTTTTTTGAGCGTCTATCATAGCAATTTTTAGACAAAAAGAATTAAACTGAACTGCCTTTTGACTTCAACTTTCGCATTAACCCTGGGTTATCTTTTGGGGGCTTTGGACAACCCGGACGACTCATGGGGTATTACCCCCGTCACCGGTTAACCAATTAACCCGGACATTCTTTGGGGGTTATGGGATATCGAACGGATCCCATATCCGGATCCACAACAACCAAAAGTGAAAAAAACTGAGAGACAAGGAAATAGTTCCGTCATAATCGTCAGTGTGAAGTAGTTGGAAAACCTTTCGTTCTGTTATGGTGGCTAAAGCGAGCTTCGGTATAATTTCAAGTCTGATCAAGAAACCTGTTTAATACAAAATGAATTCGAGACGGATGCTTTTAAGGTTGTTGCGGCTGGGCTTATTAAGCTCACTTTTCGTTCATCAAACAAGACCAGCGTTGTCTATCATTGAGGAATCGGTGAAGGAGTTAATTGTGGAAAGGAGGGCTTTTGTTTTCGACAAATTTACGGTTAAAATGAAAACCGGCCGTACCTGTAACTTAACTACTTGCACTTCACTGGGGGCAGATTATCTTGTCTTAGGTGGCAGCTCTTGCGAATGCCAATGCGGAAAGTACCAGCCCTTTACCTTTCTATCTTCAATACAGAGGTGCGCTCGTACAACCCAAGTACGCGTCTTTGGAGGTGAGCTTGGCATACATCATATTAGCATACATCAGATTGCACTATCTTGTGCTGCAGTCATTTTTCGCAAATAAAACAACACGGTCGTTGTATTTTGCACGCCGAATGGCTCTGAAGTAAAGGCTTAGGAATGTTTCAGGTCAGTTTTCCCGGTATAATGACCCTAAATAAATCCTGATTCACTCACCTTACTTACCCTATACTAATCACAATAAACTTCAGAGTCATTCGGCAGGACTTTTCCGCGGGTGGCGGGTGGCGGGTGACAGGTGGCGGGTGGCGGGTGACAGGTAGTGGGTGGCGGGTGAGGGGTAGCGGGTGACGGGTGGCGGGTGGCGGGTGGCGGATTAAAAATATATATGAAAATAAAATATTATAATAAAATGTTATTATTGATAATGATATAACTGTATGTTGTAATTTTAAAATAATTTCAACGTTTATGTACTACCTACCAGACTCCAAATAAAAGTATTGTCTTGTTTGGTTTTATCTACTTACGCGGACTAAAAATGGAAAAAAAAACGATAAATCATGCCTGTGAAAACAGTCACCTCTCCTTGCTCCGCACTGCAAGTGACGTTTCGTCAGGCTACACGCGGTGTGTCAAATGAAAATGGGCTACGTCAAGCAAGACACATGGCACATGTCGATCTTGTTTGTCTAGTTTGCTTTTTCTTCCACATCAAGACGAAAGATGATTGCACTTCCCCAGCTGTTTAGCCATGTTTATAACAGACTGCAAGAGATTCGGCCTCCCGTGTCGTGGCTCAGTTTTTTCCCTAGTATGCGGCATGATTGCCATCCTAATCAGTATTTTTAAGTAGTATTTAAAAAATGCAGATCCTTTTTGTATATATATACAACGAGATCAATTCGCGTCCGAGACGCCACATGCGGCGGAAACGGTCCATCCTGTGTCAAAAACGTTCTTGCTCCTTCTCTGGTACGCATTAACGTTGACAGCTTTGCTGCTTTAGTCTTAGGAAAATTTCCTTGTTTTCTCGAAATAGACAGTTTGTTCATTTTAAACTACAAGTCGGGAACCAAATTGGCAAAGATTTATCCCACGGGCAATGCAATGTTTATTCCAACTTATAACAAAAGAACAAACGCACTTGTCAAAAATCTGAGACACTGTTCAAACATGTCGAGAAGAGAATGCGATCCTACTTGTCTGGTCGCAGGATAAATATTACTTTAATTTTTATGAGTTCCTCAAGCTATCTCGTGCATGCGATATCGTGTAGAATAATAGAATATCTTGCAGTCTGTTATAAACACGGCTAAATAGTTGGGGAAGTGCAATCATCGTTCGTCTTGATGTGGAAGAAAAAGCAAACTAGACAAACAAGATCGACACGTGCCATGTGTCTTGCTTGACATAGCCCATTTTCATTTGACACAGCGCGTGTAGCCTGACGAAACGCCACTTGCGGTGCGGAGCAAGGAGAGGTGACTGTTTTCACAGGCATGATTTCTCGTTTTTTTTTTTCCATTTTTAGTCCGCGTAAGTAGATAAAACAAAACAAGACAATACTTTTATTTGGAGTCTGGTAGCTAGTACATAAACGTTGAAATTGTTTTAAAATTACAACATACAGTTATATCATTATCAATAATAATATTTTATTATAATATTTTATTTTCATATATATTTTTAACCCGCCACCCGCCACCCGCCACCCGTCACCCGTCACCCGCTACCCCTCACCCGCCACCCGCCACCTGCTACCCGCCACCCGCCACCCGCTACCCGTCACCCGCCACCCGTCACCCGTCACCCGCCACCAGCCACCTGCGGAAAAGTCCTGCCGTTCTTCATTTGGCATTCAGCGAACTACAAAACACCGAAATGACTCTGAAAATTAGTGTCAAATTAGGGTTAGGAAACTGTTTTCAGGTCTGTTTTCCAAGTTTTCAAATGACCCTAAGTGGAACCTGATTCACTCAGTTTCCTAACCCCAGTCACTATAAACTCAGAGTCATTCGGCATTCAGCGTTCTGCAAAATGCCCCCTGCTGAATAAGACAGCTAGTTTACCGAGTTCGATTTCTGTAATACAACTGTCCCTGTTTATATTGGAGGGTTCTAATTTAATAACCTTAATAAGTTGTGCTAGATTCTCTTTTGACGTGAAATTGATTTGGCTGATTTTGTTTTATGTGAAATTTGTGAAGGTATAAAGCAGAACAGAAGACTGCAAATGAACATGCATTTTCAGATTTAAAGTGCACCGTGCATCTTGATCAGATGTGTTTAACAAATAGATTCCATAATTAATGTTGCCATGCATCTGTTCAGTAATAGATCACAGATGACGTCAAAATGTGGTAAAAACAAAGAAGTTGCACATGAGCTGCAGGCGAGTGTGTCACTGATGTTTTTAGCACATTTTGACGTTCAGCTGTGTGATCTGTTTCTGAACAGACCCATGGCAAGAAAGAATCAATTTTTTTTTATTCAATGATCAAAAAAGAAAAAAGACCAATACAGATAGCTGCCTTGTACCACATGACTGTTCTATGAATTGTGCTAGGTTTATGAGGCATTTTTAAGTCCCAACACTACTTTTCATCTCTGCTTCTTCTTTTTTCCTTTATCTTACTTGTATACAGTTTCTTCAAAAAGTTTCTCAACTTCTTTTGTTGCTCAAAGCAGAATAATGGCTTGAGAAACATTTTGCAAAACAGTGAGTCTCTGATCTCGTAGCGATGACACACAATGACAACTGTGTGAAGATTTCTTGTAGTATAGGCATTATCAAGTAGTGACATCATCCATGTATCTGTACTCTGATAGATAATGGGCAACGACCAATCACGGCATGTGTAGCATTCACGTCATTGTATAAACGAGTATAGAGACAAACTATCTCACTGTCGGTTGGGGCTTATTTGGCAAACTTTAACAGTCTTTAACCTTTTTTCATGCATTTAAATGTAGCTAGTATTTAACACATTCCAAACTTAAATTAGAATGTGTTTGTCCTTGGCTTTCAAAGTACTAGAAGATTAAATTTGATATCATAATTGCCTTTTTTGTTCTCATGATCACTAACTCCAAGAAAAAGGTTCCTTTGCAAAGTGCCTGGGATTATACTGTTTTGACATGAGGCGAAAAGTTGCCCACAATTTAGCTGGTTACCCCAGTTTCAGGGTGCAAAGAATAGCAGACAGTTTTACAGCCTTGGGCACTGCATCTAGCATGTACTAGCCCAAAATTCACTTCATCTAGAAGGCTGAAAAAAATTTTGATGAGCATTGATTGCTGCAGTGAGTACATCTGTAATTTGAACTGGCTCTCTAAGACATCACTTACCTGTCCGGATAGTTAAGAACAGTCGAATTCACTAGCCTGACAGGAAAATATACTACATTGGAACCTTGATATTACAAACCTCTATATAACGAAGTCCTTGGTATAATAAATGATTTTCTTTCAGTGTTCCAGTTAATTCTTTCAAGGGTGGGTCATGTAGACCATCTGAGGGGTTACCCAGACCACGTGCTATTTTTTATGTTGTATTTAATGTGGCATTTATATTTCATCTGTCGGGTCGGCAAGGCTTCTTGGTTGGGTCATTGACGAAAACTTTACCATTATTGACCATGCCCCCAGGAGTGAAACATAAAATTGAACAAATTTACCTTTGGAGCCCTCTGACTATTGGATTAATTATGTAATGATCTGGGCCATTTTTGAATGTTTGACATAAAGTTGTAGCTCTTTCTTATACAACTAGGCATAAATATTATGAAGTACTCAATGACAGTTACATGTTTTATTTTTCTACTCACAGGTTGTGATGAGTATCTAAATGGCCGCCACATTTTGTCTTATGACACTAACCCACGCCAGCAGCCAGTGGATCTGATAACAGCAAGTTCAGTGACACTTTCAGCTACACAAGCAACAAGCTGCACTTTTAATCAAAAATACTCTGTTCATGATTACAGTGGCTTTCAGAGTAGATGGAGAACCATCAGCGACAGGTTTTTCAGTCTGACTATGACAAGTGGGAATGGCAAATTTAATCTTAATGTAAGAGCTGCTGATTGTTGTAGTCAATGATTTACTGTAATACCAAAAGCAGTTTAACTTTAATTTTATTTCACTCAATTTTCAGTAATGTAAGTTAAGGATGTGTTACCTGTTTTGTATGGTTATGCAAGCAGTCAGTTTTTAGGGTTACCCATGTTTTCCATGGATTTTGGCTGATATACAGTGACACTCTTAAGAAGTACCTATCACACCCTGTTCTAGGAGGCAATTACAAGCTATGGTTGACATCACCTTGTTTGACAAAAAGTTAAATCATGTATCTAATGTTGAGATGCACAGTCATTAACCCCCTATAACTCCAACCAGTCAGTTCAGCATACAGTTAAATCTGAGAAACTACGTACCCACCTAGTTTCCCCTTGATCGCCTATAGATCTTAACATCTTTCCCTAAGTAAGAAGTGAGTGTTGGCTTTTAATAGGGGAGTAGTAGGTAGGCGCTTTCTCTGCAACTTTGGCAGTTCAATCCCTCACCATACCACCAACCAGGCTTTTACTGGTGGCTGTGATTACCACCTTCTTGATCCAGTTCAGAGGATCAGGTGATCAATAGCTGTTAGACTTGTCTTGTAAAGCATTGAAACATGTTCTTATCAGTTAAGGGTCGCAGTAACTATAACAAAACAAATGTATACCTGACTTGACTGACACTTTCATAAATCTTGTGTACAATATCAGGTCTCAGCTGTCTTTTATCTTCTAGTGGGAAGCAGACAGCAATGGAACACTGTCTGGCAAGATCATCCGTATTCCTATTACTTGTACCAATGCGCGAGGTTCAAGCTCAACACCATGTTTCCTGATAAAAGCAAAAGGAGCTGTCACTTGTGAGTACATTTTCTTTTTAATTTGTTGGTGACATCCTAACAGTTTCTTTTAATTAAAGACAGGTTTGTCCAGCTTGGAGTAGTCTCTTTTTTTTTCTTCAATGAAAACATTACTTTAAACAGAAGCATTTTTCACCATTCTTTTCCCCTGGTAATGTATACTCGGGAGTTCATTAATTTAAAATGTACTTGAATCACTTATGACATCAACGGACTATGAACAATTACTTACAGTAAACCGATACATACTGAAACCATTTGTCGTCCAACTGACTCTATCATAAGGCCACAACTATATGGAATTGTTGTGATTAATAACTCCAAACAATAATATTTTTCTGTGTTTAATCTGAAATGACCTACCCCTCGGATCCCTCAAAGCCAAATGATTGCATGGACCCATAGTTGAGAAGGGACACACATTAACTTCTGTGTGATCCATTCAGCCTTTTGTCTTTTTGCGTCAGAGACTATACTCAAAAGTAGGTTGAGTTTGATCGTCCGGGTGAATGTAGTCCTGGATAGGACTGTTGTTGTTGACAGTGACTGACGTTTCGACAACCTGTGCGGTAGTCATGTTCAGAGTCAAAGTGAGTTGTATCACGTCAGTTGATGGCATTATACTCTGGTTATTGATCTGATTGGTCAATTACGTCGCAAAGTTATTGGTCGTTAAGCTGTGATGTTATTGGCTATGAAGTTACTCGTAATCGCTAATTGGTGCGTTTCGATCTGTCTATTGTCACACTAGTTAAACAGTCGTCTATCGTTAGTCAAATTGTCAGTTCAGTCGTTCTCTCATAGTTAGTTTTGCTTGATCTCGTCAATAAGTTGTTTGTACGGCACTGGTAACTGTTGGCTATGATTCAGAAGCATTTGTTCTAAGTTAGTAAACCAGCTTTCTAAAGTAAGATGTTGATAGTAGTCTGTAGAATATGTTATACATGTCGCAGAGTCCCAGTCAATTTGATGTTTCATCTTTAAATGGTACTCAACAATGTGATTGTTGACGTCACCATTCCTCGTCGCTCGTTTGTGTTCGGTCAGTCGCGATTACCGATTACAAGTCTTCATAGCCAATAACATCACAGCTTAACTGACAGACGACTAATAACAGCGCGACGTAATTGACCAATCAGATCAATAACCAGAGTATAATACTATCAACTGACTTGATTCAACTCACTTTGACTCTGAGGATGACTACCGCACAGGTTGTCGAAACGTCAGTCACTGTCAACAACAACAGTCCTATCCAGGACTACATTCACCCGGACGATCAAACTCAACCTACTTTTGAAATGACTCCTGGGTTCAAACCTTCCACAGACTATACTCAATTCAAAACACAGAATTGGATTTGGGTTTTACCACAGGCAGCCCAATAATAACAGTATAGAAGGATCTTGTCTGAAAACTCATGACAACAAATTTGTTAATTCTTTCTTTCGTTACAGATTATGCCCCACCTACTCCTACAATTTCATCATCATCCTCATCAGTCACGGTATCTATGTTGTTTTCTTCATCGTCATCAGTGATATCACCTCCCCCACCCTCATTATCACCATCATCATCATCATCATCATCATCATCATCGTCATCGTCGTCATCATCATCATCATCATTGTCATCACTGTCATCACATCTACCACTATCATCACCGATGTTGTTCACATCATCTGTGCTGTCACCATCACCATCTTTAATTGGGATTTTAAGTACAAGAACATTGGGAGTGTCACAGACAGTTTCCTCATATCTCCCATCTGCACAGATTCAAACTGCAAAATTATCTACCCAAGCAACACCACCAACAGGAATCCCACACCAATCCACTGGTGCAGAAGTGAAACCTTCAAAGGTAGGTCTGTGTTAATTCTCCCATCTGAGGAAACATGATATTTCCACTGAACAAAAAGTGAATTAAATTGTCACTCACAACTTGTCAAGAGAAGATTTTTTGGTTAATTATTGCATAATGTGGTACATACTTAGACGGCATTTTTTGTCCACTTTAGGCCATTATAACTGCAGTGTCTTCTAGTTCTGTGATCAGTGGTGGCCCGCCAGGTGACAGGGAAAAAAGGACAAGTGGAAATGATAGTGGGATTGTTATTGGTTCTGCCGTGGGTGGTGCTGTAGTTCTTGGAATTTTGGTCATCATGAGCATTGTGGTTTGGAAACGGAGAAAGCCAGGGTAAGAAAAATCTATTTATTATATAAATACCAATGAAATACATGTACCAGGAAAACTTCATTCTAAGCTCAGTTCTAAAAAATAATATGAAGGGAAATCTGATTATTACTTTTGATTAACTTCTAGTCTCTTCTTATGCATTATTTAGTGATTCGACTGAATAAATTTCTTGAGTCCTATTTTGCCAAAAAAAAAAATTAATTTTTTTTTGGCGGTTTTTGTTATTTTATAGGAAAAACTCAGACAAGAAAGTTAAAACAGGTAAGGAATATATTTAATTGTTTATTTATTTATTTTTAATACATTCGTAAACTGATATACATGTACTCATTTAAGGCTGTTTAATTAGCAATGTTAACAGGACTGGGCAGAGTCCAATTTGGTCTGTAATCATATGGCCGTGTAGCGGGAGTCCGATTTGGTTAATCACGAGTATGATTACAGACTGAATTGGACGACACAAGGTTCTGTTACCAAAATTTGTGATATATAAGGCTCTTTTTTTAAAATTAATCGAAACAGAAGAAATTCCAATTTTTTTTTGCTAGCAGTGAAAAAAAGCCATTTAAGGACGTGCGTGATGTCGCATACTGCCCAATTACTTAGGCATGATGCATACTGTCCTATTAAATTGTCCTATTAAGGCTCAAATCAGGGCAGCTGATAGCCAAGCAGATTCAAGAATTTTGTTATGGTTATGATTATATGCTTTACATTTTGTTGATGTACGTTCTTAAAATGTTACATAGTTGTTAATCATGTCCTTATCACAGTATAATTTATTTCATACTGCAAATGGGTCTGGAATTTTTTTTGTTTTAACTTTTAAGTTGAGAACCCTGATTATGGTAACTCGGGCAATGAGATCCAGTTGGAAATGCCAAAAGGAGGTACATTACCTATTGCACAGGAAGACCAACCAACATATCAAGGCCTCCTCAACGACAATAGTGAGTTTACAGCTATTTTGAGAAAGGTTGTGGGAAAAACTGTGCACGCGACAATCCCGAAGGGTAATATGGGATACGATCAATACACTGTTCCTGACATTGTAGCTGTTGAAAATACTTTTGTTGCTTTCCTTTAGTACTCACAAACTTATGTCTATGGTTTCTTGTGTCATTCTTTCAAATTTCATTGGAGAACTGGTCATTCAGTACTACCCACAATACCTTTCAGCATTGTCGCGTACACTTTTTCCGACAACCTTTCTCAAAATAGCTGTATGTTCAGGGTGCAAAGAAAATCATTTTTACAGCTTGCCATTTGGGCACTGAAGCTGAAGCTAGCATTTAGACGTCATTTCAACTAGCCCCAAAAGCTTTTTGACGAGCACAATTGGTTTCACAGTTCTTCTGTTATTCGAATTCCTCAAAAAACATCACTTGCCTGTTGGTTAAGTTAAAAACAGAATTCACTGGCCCAATAGCAAAATCCACTAGCCGTGGGCTATCGGACACGACTTTCTTTGCACGCGGATGTTTATGTTATAATGTGCATCAAGTGTATCATGCAACTGATTTCCTATCAATTTGGACTGCTAAGAAAAAAAATTAATTTTACAATTATGTTACAAAATGTTTATATTCCAGGAGTATGTGAAATAAATAATCACCTGCTATATTGCATCTACAATAATTAATGGTGTTAACACAGATAAGAGGGTCTATTAAACTGTATTTGACTTGACATTGCAAAAATTAAAATACAAAAACATGATCAAAATTGAAGGGTTGCCTAGAACAGAGCCCCGACTTTGGAGGGAATTTTTTTACAAACCCCATAATAACTGTTTTTCCTATATTTCCCTGCTAGGGCAAAGTAATGGGGCAACAATATACAGCAGTGCTGAAGGAAACTATGATAACTGCACTGTGTACCAAACCCTTGACAAAGAGAATCCTGGGCCATCTGTGTACCTTGGACTGTCTAAAGGTCTGCCAGAAGGAGCTCCAACCACAGGAATACCAAACTCCAAACACACCACAATGCCAAATCCTAAGCTGAAACCAAGTGCTGGAGGGATACCATCTTCTAAAGCAAATGGCACCATAGGGGTACTTAAATCCAACTCTGCTACAGGTCAGCCAAAGAGAGGACCCAGTATATCCCAGGAACCTGTCTATAATGTCCTCGATGGACCTGGTACAGGACCAAGGATTAAAACAGAGCCAGTGTATAATGTGCTTGAAGGACACGAATATGCAACCCCAAATGCTGACCCTTTGTATAATGTTCTGGAGGGCCCTGATTCTAACCGGAGTGTATCTAAAAGTGGACCAAACACCACAGAGGAAGCTGTGTACAATGTGCTTGAGGGCTCTGATACCACAAACGGCCCCACTACTAAGCAAGGTACTGAAAATGATGCTATTTACAATGTGCTTGAGGCCCCAGATTCTGACAAGAACTCATTAGTTTCTCAGGGCCGTTCAGGTCCCGGTAATGAGCCCCTGTATAGTGTACTTGAGGAACAAGTTGGAGATGGATCAAAACAGAATGCACCAAATAAATCATCTTCAATAGGTGGAGTCGCTAATCCAGCATATGAGCAAACTCTTGATTTTGGTGCGTCATATGCTGCTGTAAACAGACCAGGGGCACGTGGAGACTCACTGTATGAGCCCCTGAGGCGACCTGGACAAGACGTGTATGAGCCCCTTGGCTGAAGCTAGAACCTCCACAACACTGTTTTTAGGCCCCGCCTACATGTATCCTAAGATGCTATCTTAGAAAATACTTAAGCCACCACGAAATAAGCATTTTAAATTGAAAAAAGTACAAATTTAGTTGTCCATTTTGTGACAAACAAACGACCCTTTCGTGAATTCAAGTAATATGAACATAGGGTTGTTTTCTTACTTACTACTGACTCACTCTCTTGCTAACCTCGAACTCACAGTCTATAATTGTCCCTCACGCGTGGAATCATTCAAACTCTGCATGTGTAGGGCAGTGCCTTATTTTATTCCAAAGTTTTTGCAGTAGCAGGGTTGTCATTAAGAGCCGGGGGCCGGGGATTTTCCCCGGCTACTTTTATTGGAAAATAGAACCAAAATAGAATCAAAAGAAATCCCTAGCCGTTTGATTCCCTGCCTACTTGTTGTATTTACCCAGCAACTTGAAATCTTAGGGACAACCCTGAGTAGTAAGGAGCGAGGGGGGCCACCCTTTCACGCCTCGCGTGCCCAGACGCACACGTGGCCACTTTCTTCGCATGCGTGTTTAACTCCATGGAGGAAGAAACAAGAGGTGCTGTGTAGTAGTCTACAGCGTATTATCTCATAGAGGCATTAATTAGCAAAATAGATTAATTATTACATATTATTGTCAGCAATGACACGAATTTTCTACGGTTCTCGGTCTTCACGATTCTAAAATATGCGTCTGTTGCGATACATAATTTTCATAAATTATCTGTAACTGGTTAGTTAGCCAGTTCCAGGCGTTCAGATAGTAGAGCGTGGCGGTCAGTGGGGAGCGAGTTAAATTGTACACCAGGAAAATGGGGGGGGGGGCGAGAGTGAAAGAATTTTTCCCCCTCTAGTCTCCCCTCGTTTTTTTTTTCTTCGTGAATTTTTCTCCCCACTCTACTATCTTAACGCCTGGAACAGGCTACTAGTTAGTATGTATAAAGTCATTTAGAATTTTAGTTTTTGAATTTTATGTTCTGGAAAATAACTCAATACTTGCGTCAACAAAATCGTGAATTTGAATTTAACAAGTGAGTGTACCATGAGTACATGACAGTACCTTTGTGAAACCTTCAAAAGGTCGGTTCATTTATCCAAAAGTATCGTTCTGTATTGTTCGATAATATTTTGGGGGAAAATGAACCTGTTATTTTTGCCTGATGGCAAAACTATTAGAGAGAAAGGTATACATGTATATAGTTGTGTGTAGTGTTGTGTAGTTCTACGTTGCTGCATGATTTTAGTCAATTTGTGGTCAATGTAGATTATGTATGATTACAGTTGAGCACATTTTACTTTCATACGAACTTTCTGAAGCTGGATAATTTTGTGACCAAATTCAAACGTGAAATGATCACAGCTTTCACATGTAATAAAACATCGGAGTGGGAGGAATGAGTTTGTTTCTAGCTTGTTGGTCAATCAGACAAAGGGCCTTTGAAGGTTTGCTTGCAGGCTTTTGTGTGAGGTAGGCAGTAACAAAAACAAAATGTATATTAAAAGAGAAAAATCTAGATAAGGTATTAAAAAAATATTTTTATAGTTGTAGCTAATGTATTAACTGTATATGTTTTATAAAGAGGAGAAGTCTTCCTGCTTCCTCCCATATTTTTCATACAACGAACTTTTTTGGATGCTTTTGAAAAATGGTTGTGAATTTAATAATTTGACGGCTACAGATGCTTATAGTTTCCTCCGCAGCCTTTATGAGGTTCGTCTCGCAACGCTCCTATAAATTGCGTGACGACCCTAATGACAGCTGTAAAGGAGACTACAGATGCTATAGGTGACATGTAAATCAGAAGAGGTATTGCCATAGAGGGCAACTCTCTCCTCAGCGGGGAGGGGTGCCCCAACATCAGATTTATTTTGCTACTGTATATGTTGTATTATTTTCTTGAAAATAAGTTGTAGCCTTGGACTAAGTTTTATTATTTTTTTTTTCAACTCCATTTTATAACTTGCATGTTATGTGTTTTTTCGAAGTCTTATGCAATTCTTTTTATAATTATTTTAAATTTTGTATTTTTAGAAAATAGTCTACAATCTTGGGCAAAACTGTTGAGAAAATGGCATTCTTGGGGGGCATTTTTTCTTAACTTCGTAGCCGACCGATTCTTCCCTCCCCCCTCCCCCTGGAAGCAGTGTTGTTGGGTCTTCAAAAGAGAGCCGGACCCCTGAGCATTTGTTGTAGCAAGCAACTTTGAACTGGGGGAGGGGGTTTTCTTTACGCAAAGCCGTTGATTTGGAAATAGTTTTGTTGCGTTAGGTAGTGCGCATTAATGAAAACATTTTCTCAAGTAGTTTTGTCCAGGATTGTAGCTTTAATATACAAATAATGAACTACTTATATTTTTCCATATCGACTAAAACGGTGAATAAAATATATATAGAATGGGCATGCATAAAAACATGCATAAATTCAAAATAGCTATTTAATTAAAATAAAGTACTTTGAAAATAAAGTATAAATTGTGTAAAAAAATGCAGCAAAATGTGTTATCGTAGCATGTTATGAATTTTTTTGTAGTCGCCACAAAAGATAAATATGAAACCCCTACTGCGGTAGAAACGTTTTAGTAAGTTGCGATGCATCTCATTTCTGGGCTAGAGACACTAGGGCCATTTATACGAGGAAAAATAAGACGCGAACTTTCCGTATAAACGTCACATTTCGTCTAAAATAAGACGCGGCTTAGCTAAGACGCGTCTTTTTAGATAAGACATGCTCGTATAAATGGTACCGCGCATCTTATTTAAGACGCGTCTTATTTTTCCTCGTATAAATGGCCCTACTATGATCAATGACAATAAAACCTTGCTCTCCCTTCAAAGCTAAGCGTTCGGCCTGGACTAAACCACTGGTCGCGGGGTAAAGCTTACATTGAGCAAACAACGACAACTTTGTCAACGAATGTGCTTGTACCGCGCTATACACTCAATATGAATCTCTACTCCCGTTTTTGAAGGAGTTTCAAAGAACAAACGTGAATAGATTGTTAGAGAGTGAAAAGAAGAGAAACTTCAAAGTGAAAGCTACTTTTCGGCTTACCTGAAACCTGCTCTCGCCTTGAACTCGCAGTGCAAACTCCTTTGAGAGATTGTTTGTGGTTCGTCATAGACCTTTTTCATAACCGTTTGCGACAAACGCAGACTGCAGACTGGAAGGTGAACGTGCGTGGTCAACATTGTTGTGCAATCCTTTAACAGATTTCCTATCCCTAAATTTGGGGTAGGGAATCTGTTTAAGTTTTTCACAACAATATTTATCTCGTCTGGGTTTGTCGCACACTGCTTTCACAATAGCGGCCCACTTATTTATTCTTTCATATCTACATAAATGAGCCTTTCTGGTCTCGCTTAAAGTAAGAATTCTTTTGTATTTTGCACATGCTAACGTGGTCAGATAGACTAATTATCAGACAGTCGAACCTCTCGGTACGGACACCTCTCTAATGCGGACACCTCCCAATGTCCCGAGAAAATTCTCGTATATTTTATTTTAAAAAAACCTCTATAATACGGACTCTTCTCTAATACGGACAACGGACACTAAGTCTCGGCTCCAGGGAGTAAATTCATATAAACCTAACCTCTTTATTACGGACACTGCGGTGATCTGGTGCCGATCCCGAATCCCGATCTACAGGTGAATCTGCACAAGGTGAATCCCGTCTGGCTGATGAGCTATGCAAGGTGATTTCAAAAGCCCAGTCGCTGTATATCAAACAACGATTTGAGGAGAAACATAACCAACTTTTTTAAGGCTTGAATAACTAAAGATAGCATAAAGAACTTTCTATTACATGTTGTACTCTAGTTACTGTTTACTGCACTTTTATTGGCGAGGGATAAAGAACTATCAGCCACAGGAGAGATGAAATAAATTTTATACAAAAATTACTTAACTGTTAATCCAACTTTTTTGAATTATCAGTGGCGTCGGAATGGAGGTTAGGTTAGCATTGTCCATATAGAAGTACAGGTACTCGAACAAGTCATACATAGCGAAAAACGCGTTCAGAATTGTGCTTCACATTACATCTTTTTTCATGCAGCATTTCGCTGTAGCTCGTTTCGCTTGTCTACGACTGTACTTACTTTGTAGCTGAGATGTACAATGTTGTACGCTACTGAAAGACAGCCGTCTTTGTACTGTGAATTAATAAATTTAAATGCAGTTTGAAGACGAGTGTGAGCCTGGTTTTAGCTAGACTACGATTGTCCTCAGGGATAGTAGAGCGAGCAAAACGCGAGCGCGCGTGAAAATCACCCCACGCGAGAAAAGGCGACACGCTGCGGGGAGAGAGAAAAATGAGAGAGGGAAGAAGGATACCTGATCGCAGGTTAGAGAGGACTTGACCGAAACCGGAAATCTCTGGCACCTCGGGCTGTTAGTTTTCACATGACGTCACTAGAATTCAAACTACAAAACTATCGATCCTCCTGAGATTTTACTTTCATGGTGTATTAGAGCAGCTGAAAACTTTAGAAGTGTCAAACAAATTTTCGCTTCAAAAGGGTTCTTGGTTTTGTAATAGAGTACGCTTGAATTTCTTATCTTTTGCGTGACGCAGCATTCACATGATGGCCGAGAGAGCTGTCATTGAGGTTTAAAAAGTGACTTTTTTCGAGGAATCTTGTCATCTAAACAGTTCAAACATTAGAAAAAGTATTGCTTTAATGTTTATGAGTTCCTGTAGGAGTAAATTCACGCTTTTGTAGCAAAACTCGGTAGCAGATGTTTCTGTTGGTTTCCGTCCGCCATGTTGGAGCTCATCCGGATGAGCTCCAGCATGGCGTCTCTATACAAAGCTCTATTAATTTGGGTACAACATTTCCTCAGATATCTCGTATACGAATTATTCCTTCGACCCAAATCTTGGCGACGGTCTTTGTATATTTACCTCCTTTCATTTCCCAGATTCTGGACTTTACCTGCCGAATGGTTTTGATTTTTATTTTGATCTACTTTGAATGGCGTGACACTGAAAACCAGCGTGTATCGTTTACATGGCGCTCCACCAAAGTAAAAACTCAGAGACAAGGAAATAATAGTTCTGTCATAATTGTCGGTGTGGAAATAGTTGGAAAACCTTTCTTCTATGATGGCCAAAGCGAGCTTCGACAAAATTTCAGATCTTGTGTAATTTGAGCACCCCTCGAAGACGGGCGCGTTGGCGTCCATAAAAAAACAGAAAAACCACTCTAAAAATTACCTAAAACCGAAAAACCGCGATAGATTTCGATCGAAACCGAAAACCGCATATAAAACCATCAAAACCGAAGATTTACACAGCTCAATTTTCACAAAACCCTAGTCTAGATCTCAAACGTTGGTGATGTTTGAAAATGCGGGTATCAGCACTATTCATGGCGGATGCTAGAAAAAATTCACAAAGATCCTCGATTGAATAGCAATAGAGGACACTGGGGGAAATTTTGCGTCCGCAAAGAGCTCTCCAGGTGTAAACTTCCGTCAAAAACCCAGAATCCCACATTGCGCTTCGACCTGGATTGACTGTAAAATGTACAAACATATAAAGTAGCCTAACATGTCACTGCAAAGATTGGAGACCCACAGACGAATATAACGCGCAAAGTCTGTTACTTTTCTGGTCTTTAGCGGGACCTTACCTAGGAGTCATTTCAGTTTGAAAGGAAGTCAAAGACAGACCTGCACGGACTCCCAATGTGGTTTTTGTAGACACCAAAACCCACTTCAAGCCGACTGAAACCTTTCAATATACACACTTTACCTCGTACCACCTTCCGGGTGTAAAAAGAGGTTTCATTATTAAAAAGGCGAAGCAATAAGATTGCTTGGAACAAACTCTTAAAAATAACTTTTAAAGAGTGCCTTGCGAACTTTAAACAACGCCTTTAAGCCCGCGGGTATCCTAACTTAAACAAAGCTATAGAAAGCTCGTTGTCACTGAGGTCAACTTTGACTTAAGACAATCGGCGCTAAAACAAAAGCAAAGAAGTTAAGAGACACTATTGCCTATCGTTACAACATATCATCCAGCGGTACAAGATCTTAAAAAGACATTGATGGCATAAACTGAAGTCTAAAAGAAAATCAATCACTAATGAAAACAATTTTTAAAAGACCTCCGATCATATACCATAAAAGAGGTAAGTCTCTGAAAGACATGCTTGTAAGAGCAAAAATGCAACTTGAATGAAAGCAATTGATAATGCGACACAACCACAAAAACTACAGTGGCAGCCTGTGTAAGTCTGTCTCACGCGTGGAAGTCGAGTGGTAGGAAATAGTTTCCCTTTGAATATGCCTTGACGCTGTCGAGTATCCTTGGGCAAAACCAAAGCCTGCTCTCGGGAGTGCAGAACGGATTCCGGGGTTAAATTTAAATCCGGGTTTCTTTTTCTTTTCTTAAAAAGCATTTCCTCAAATAATTCTCTCTTTTCTTTTTGGAGCGTTTATCATCAAATTGTAGACAAAAGGAATTAAACTGATTATTGCCCCTGGAATTGCCTTTTGGCTCCAAATTTCGCATTAACCCTGGGTTATCTTTAGCGGGCTTTGGACAACCCGGCCGACTCAGGGGGTATTACCCCCGTCACCGGTTAACCCACTAACCCGCACATTCCGGGAATTTGGGGGTTATGGGATATCGAATATTATCCGGATCCACAGCAACCAAAAACAAGGAAATAGTTCCGTCATAATCGTCGGTGTGGAATAGTTGGAAAACCTTTCGTTCTGTTATGGTGGCCAAAGCGAGCTTTGGCAGAATTTCAAGTCTGATCAAGTGTTTCATACAAAATGAATTCTAAACGGATGCTTTTAAGGTTGTTGCGGCTGGGCTTGTTAAGCTTATTTTTCGTTCATCAAACAACACCAGCGTTGTCTATCATTGAGGAATCGGTGAAGGAGTTAATTGTGGAAAGGAGAGTAGGTTTTTTCGATTCATTTACGGTTAAGATGAAAACAGACCGTACCTGTGACTCAGCTACTTGCACTTCACTGGGGGCATTGTTTGTTTTCTTAAGTAGCAGCTCTTGCTCATGCCAATGCGGGAATTACCAGCCTTTTACCTTTCTATCTTCAATACAGAGGTGCGCTAATACAACCCAAGTACACGACTTTGGAGGTGAGCTTATAGCATACATCATATTAGCATAAATCAGATTGCATGATTATCTTTGTACTGTAGTCACTGTATGGCAAATAAAACACGGCCGGGGTATTTTGAAGAACGCCGAATGCAAAACGAGGCAGTATAAAACATGGACTGCGGACTGGGTATAAAACATGGACTAGGTATAAAATGCGGCCTCCGGATTTTGAGAAAACCGGCCACCAATTGGTCAATAATTTACAAATTTTTGCAAAATGGTCACGTGACAAATCACTTGAGTTATTGACACAACATTTATACTTTAAAATGTTGAGTACGATGAGTTCTTCATGTGTGCCAAATTTTGATTCAGTGCGATCATCTATGCCAAAGTTATAGCCAATAAATCATTTTCAACAGGTAAATACCTTAGTCACAGGCCTTAAACTGCTTGAGTGGCTCTGTAGTTTGGTGATTGGGGTTAGGAAATTGTGGGATCATTTTGGGGGCTGTACAGATCCCATTGACACTTTGGACACCTCATGAAATTTACACAACGTAGTTTTCCCCTTTAGTAATTAGGGTTAAGCACTGCCTTTACAGATCCTTTACGGATTAGGGCTAAGCGCTGTTTCGAAACTGGTTAGGTTCTTTTTTTGGGTTGGGGTTGATGCTAAATGTACTTAAATTATTTCACTTCCTTCCAGCAAATCCTCAGTGGTCTAGTGTTTAGCGTAGTATACTGGACCATCTGGGTAGTGGGTTCGAATCCTACTGTCTTTCATATTAATTTTTTTTTCTTTCAAATTGAAGAGACTTGCACTTTCATGAACATTTCCAGCACGAAATATCATCTAAGTGTGATATAAAAGTAGAAAACAGTTCTACCTTATGTAAATTTCATGAAGGGAGAGAGGGGCTACGGCCAATGGGATCTAATGCTGGCCTGCTTGTTTATGTTCATATTACTATAACCGCCATCTTTGATATAATGACGAAGGAAGATTAGGGAGAGTAAAAATAGTAACCCTTAGGTTAATGTTACTGCAAATTCTGATATTTAAAACAACAACAACAACAACAATAATGATAATAATAGTAAAATTAAGTCCCTACAGAAGAAGGTTTGATTTCGGTATTGCGTCTTTTGACTAGCCTGATTTTCTCCTCTCTTTTGGAGTTTTTTACATGGCACTTTCGCTAGCAAAACATTCATTCGCCCAAAGAAAACGCCTGCACAGCTGCAGGCTAGTGTAAAGCGTTCTGCAAAATACCCCTGCCAAATAAAACAGTTCCCCTGGGGGGCACTCCCTTATTTGGCCTATATGGTGCCGCTGAACAGGGTATGGTTTTCAGGGTTTTGTCGTAAACTGGGTATATAATTTCACTTTTGAGCCTCTTGAACAGGGTGTCTTTTTAGACCTGAAGCCTTAAACAGGGTCACTGAGAATTTTGGTGGTGTGCGGTCTACATGTGTAACAAAGTTTTTTAGATAATCTAATTTTGTTCTAATTTTGTTCTGTCAGTAATCTCAAGAAAATCATTTTGTATGTGACTCCAAAACAAATTAAATAAATATGTTTTTTCCCCATTTTATATTGTATTTTATACTATCTAAGAAAAAAATACAGTATCTCCTTAAACAGGGCATTTGGGCTACAGACTTGAACAGGGTAGCAAAATGAATGGATGTTGTCATAAACATAGGGTCACGGTTTGAAGGCCTTTGGCGGCTCACCTACACCCAAGCTGCCCTCAAGTGAAACCAGCATCCCACCCCCACCCCCCCCCCCACCCCAGACAGTTCAATGAGTTTGATTTCTATAAGACAACTGCATGTCCTTGTTTATTAAATGGACGGTTTTAATTCAATAAGCTTAATAAGCTGTGGTAGATTCTCTTTTGATGTGAAATTGATTTGGCTGATTTTATTTTATGTGAAATTTACAAAATGTACAAAGCAGTACAAAAGACTGCAAATGGACATACGCTTTCAGATTTAAAGTGCAGTCATGCAGATGTATTTAACAAAAAGATTCCATAATTAATGTTGCTGTACATCTGTTCAGTATAATTACGTTTTAGAATAGATCGCAGGTGACGTTAAAATGTGGTAAAAACAAAGAAGTTGCGCACGAGTCATATCTGAGTGTGTACATTTACCACATTTTGACGTCCAGCTGTGTGATCTGTTAATACTGAACAGACCCATGGCAACAAAGAAATCTATTTGTTTTATACAATGACCTGCCTTGTACCACTTGACTGTTCTACAATTTGTGCTAGTCTTATATTTTTAAGTCCCGAATGCTACTTTTCATCTCTGTTTTTTTTTTCTTTATCTTACTTTTATACAGTTTTTTCAAAACGTTTTTCAACCTCTTTTGCTGCTAAAAGCAGAATAATGGCTAACCATTTCGCAAAACAGCGAGTCTCTGATCTCGTAGTGATTACACACGATGACAACTGTGTGAAGATTGCTTGTAGCAATTAGGCCTTCTCAAGTAGTGACATCTTAGATGTATCTGTACTCTAATCATCGGCAATGACCAATCACAGAATGCGTAGCATTCAAATCATTGTATAAACGAGTATAGAGGACCAACTACCTTACTGTTGGTTGGGGCTTATTTGGCAAACTTTATTACAGTTTTTTAGCTTATTTGATGCATTTTTAATGACTTGTATCTAGCTACACTTTCCAAACTATGACGTCTTGCATTTATTTAGAACGTGTTTGTCCTTGGCTTTCTAAGCACTTATATAGCTAGATTAATTTGTTGTTCTCATGATCACTAACTACAAGAAAAAGGTTCCTTAAGTGCCTGGGATTACTGTTTTGACATGAGATGGAAAGTTGCCCACAATTTAGCTGCTGGCCAACCCAGTCTCAGGGTGCAAAGAATATCAGACAGTTTTAAAGCCTTGGGCACTGCATCTAGCACGTACTAGCCCAAAATTTACTTCAACTAGACTGAAAAAAATTTTATCAAGCATTGATTGCTACAGTACGTGAATTAACATCTGTAATTTGAACTGGCTCCCTCTAAGACAATATCACTTTTTAATACCTGTCGGGCAAGTTAAGAACAGTCAAATTCTGCACTAGCTATATAGCTAGCTGACAGCAAAATCTCCTACATTGGAACCTTGATATAACAAACCTCTTAATTCAGTGTTTCAGTTAATTCTTTCAAGAGTGGGTCATGTAGACCATCTGAGCTGGGGTATAACCCAGACCAGGTTTTTTTTTTGTTATATTTAATGTAATTGCATTTATATTTTATCTGTCTGTTCAGGAAGCCTTCTTTGTTGGGTCATTGATGAAAACTTTACCATTTTTGACATGATGCCCCCAGGAGCAAAACATAAAATTGAACAAATTTATCTTTGGAACAACATGACAACTGGATTAATTATGTAATGATCTGGACCATTTTTGAATGTTTGATTGTAGTTCTTGATTGTAGTTGTAGTTCTTTCTTAGCTAGGTATTAATGAAGTACTCAATGAGACTTGCATGTTTTATTTTTCTACTTACAGGTTGTGATGAGTATCTAAATCTCCGCCCCATTTTGTCTTATGACACTAACCCACGCCAGCAGCCAGTGGATCTGATAACAGCAAGTTCATTGTCACTTTCAGCTACACAAGCAACAAGCTGCACTTTTAATCAAAAATACTCTGTTCATGATTACAGTGGCTTTCAGAGTAGGTGGAGAACCATCAGCAACATGTTTTTCAATCTGCGTATGACAAGTGGGAATGGCAAATTTAATCTTAATGTAAGAGCTGCTGATTGTCTTAGTCAATGATTTACTGTAATACCAAATGCAGTTTATAGCTTTAATTTTATTTCACTCAATTTTCAGTAATGTAAGTTAAGGATGTGTTACCTGTTTTGTATGGTTATGCAAGCAGTCAGTTTTTAGGGTTACCCATGTTTTCAAGGGATTTTGGCCGATATACAGTGACACTCTTAAGAAGTACCTATCGCACCCTGTTCTAGGAGGCAATTACAAACTATGGTTGACATCACTTTGTTTGACAAAAAGTTAAATCATGTATCTAATGTTGAGATGCACAGTCATTAACCCCCCACCCCGGCCATACCCCCAACCAGTCAGTTCAACATACAGTTAAATCTGAGAAACCACCCACCTAGTTTCCCCTTGATCACCTATAGATCTTAGCATCTTGCCCTAAGTAAGAAGTGGGTGTTGGCTTTTAATAGGGGAGGGGTGGGTGGGTGCTTTCTCTGCAATCTATTACTGACCTTCGGCAGTTCAATCCCTCACCAGACCACCAACCAGGCTTTTATGGTGGCTGTGATTACCACACCTTCTTGATCTAGTTCAGAGGATCAGGTGATCATGCAATAGCTGTTTAAGACTTGTCTCATAAAGCAGGCATTGACATGTTTTTATCAATATTATTAATGGTCGCAGTAACTATAACAAAACAAATTAATGTATATGTTGTAGTTAATTTTTTGTCTCAGGTAATTTTTATTTTTCTTTTGTTTCAACTTCATTAGCAGACATTAGCATACCCAAAAACAAAAGAGAAACAAAAATTACCTGGGATAAAAAATTAACTACAACATATACCTAACTTGATTGACACTTTCATAAACCCTGCGTACAATATCAGGTCTCAGCTGTCTTTTATCTTCTAGTGGAAAGCAGACAGCAATGGAACACTGTCTGGCAAGATCATCCGTATTCCTATCACTTGTAGCAATGCACAAGGTTCAAGCTCAACACCATGTTTCCTTTTAAAAGCAAAAGGGACTGTTACTTGTAAGTACATTTTCTTTTTAATTTGTTGGTGACATCCTAAACAGTTTTTTTTAACTACAGACAGGTTTTCTCCAACTTGGAGTTATCTTTTTTTTTCCAATGAACACGTTACTTTAAACAAAATCATTTTTCACCATTATTTTTCCCTGATATGTATGCTGGCAAGTTCAATAATGTAAAATGTACTTGAATCACTCTTGACATCAGCAGACTAATTGAATTAATGATAATTGTTTACAGAAAACCAGCACATACTGAAGCCATTTGTCCTACAACTGACTCTCTTACAAGGCCACAACTATATGGACTTTTTGTAATTAATAATTCCAAGTAATAATATTTTTCTGTTTTTCTGTCTGTCTGAGTTATTATTAATCTGAAATGACCTACCCCTTAGATCCCTCAAAGCCAAATGATTGCATGGACCCATAGTTGAGAAGGGACTGTACACACATTACCTTCTGGGTGATCCATTCAGCATTTCGTCTTTTTGCATCAGAGACTACTCAGTTCAAAACACAAAATTGGATTTGGATTTTACCACAGGCAGCCCAATAATATTAGCATAAAAGTATCTTGTCTGAAAACTCATGACAATAAATTTTTCAATTCTTTCTTGTTGCTTTGTCTTTCATTACAGATTATGCTCCGCCTACTCCTACGGTTTTATCATCATCCTCATCAGTGATATCACCTCCCCCACCACCTATTCAAACATCATACTTAGCATCATCATTGTTGTCATCATCATCTGGTCAGTCATCACTGCCATCACATCTGCCACAGCTATCATCACCAATATTGTTCACGTCATCTGCATTGTCACCATCACCATCTTTAATTGTGATTCTAAGTACAATAACATCGGGAGTTTCACATTCAGTTTCTTCATATCTCCCATCTGCGCAAATTCCAACTGCAAAATTATCTACCCCAAGAACATTACCCACAGAAATCCCATTCCAATCCACCACTGTAGAAGCCAAACCATCAAAGGTAGGTCTGTGTTAATTCTCTCCCTATCAAGGAAACATAACATTTATATCGATC